CAGTAGTTTGCCTTTTCACAATGATTCTCAGCCAGAGATCCTCCTTCCACTCCCAGTCCTTCCTGGCAAGGTTTTTCCTGTTATAGTGAACACTTATCCTTGCAGTTGGAACTCTGTTTGCCCCTAATGACCCTCGACTGATGAATTTATTGCCTTTCGGCATCAAGAGGAGCTCAGTGGGTGTGGTAACAGGATGAGAGTATTTCTCCTAATGAGAGGTCAGCTGTGTAAAGCTGAAGCTTTGTTAAGCCTTGCTGTGGGTGGAAGACATCCAAGGCTTTCAGTGCATTCTCACCTCAGGAAGAATGCGGGGCTCTGTGATGCTGGCCCTGTAACTGCTGACCATCACAGGCCATAAGGACAGTGGCTGTTTACTGAGCTCCGCTGGCCCAGTGCCTGGAGAGCAGTGGCTACCGGGCAAGGGGGACCTAGCTTCCTGAGCCTTAGGTCTGGTGGGTGGGTGGGGCCGGCCAGGAAGATGTGGCCTTGTGATAGGGAGAGACCTGGCAGCTTCTTAGACAGCTCCCTGAGGCCAGGGCTGGAGCTGCAGCAGAGGTGTCATTGGCACCCCAGATTCTCAGTGAGTGCATTGGTGTCTGTTTACAAAAAGTGAAGCAGACTTCATTGTATTCTTTGTAAAGTTCACATTTGATCCTGCCCTGTGATCTTTAATTCACGGTCACCATGAGGGTCCAGTGTCACTTGCCCTGTTACAGCTGATCAGTTTTTTCAAGCTATTTATGATTATCTGTCTCCTAAGAGAATCTTAGTAGGAGTGATTTTGTTGTTGTTACTTAGTCTTTTTTTGTTTGTAAATAAGAACTCCAGCAATAGAAGTGATATTTATAATGAATCCCTAATGAGTTTTGGGTTCTTCTGGTTTTACTTAGTGTCCAAAACATGCTCTTTTTATAACCAAAGTGTGTGACCAGCTGTTGCACCCCAGGGGTATAATTCATAAGAGTTTGTCTGTGACCTTTCAGATTCCAGAGTGCTTCCCAGCCCTGGACTGAGGTGGTGAAGTGATACTGGCAGACTGGCTTCTCGGAGCCCGAGGCTTTGCCTCTCCGTGCCTGCTCTGTCTTCAGCCGCCTGCAAGGCAGCTTCTCCCACCCAGCCCTCCTCCCTCTGCCCGACCCGAGCTGCTTTTTCTGAAGTGATCAGGGTTTTCTTTCTTTTTTTTTCTCTTTGAAACCCCCCTTTTGGTACCAGGGATTGAACTCATGACCTTGTGCTTGCCAGGCAGACACTTATGCTGCTGAGTTATATGCCTGTTTTTTTCCTCTCTCTCTTTGGAAATACAGGACAGTAGAAGGATCAGGATCTCTCTATGCTTTTAGGCTCTATGCAATGACTGGGATTTAAAAAACATTTTTAGTAGCACTAGAGATGGAAACTAGGAGCACTGTGCTGCTGGGCTGTATTTTCAGTCCTTTTTTTATGTTTTGAGACAAGATCTCACTTAGTCACTCAATTGCAAGCCTCCTGCTTCAGCCTTCCTCGGTGCTGAGATTACAGCAACATGCCTGGCTTTCCAAGGGGCTGGGGATGTAGCCCTTGTCCCCTCCCCTGCATGATTACAGGATGGGACATCTCATCTGCCACTGTGATTAGACTGTCTCCTTTGGTTGTAGCAGTGCTAATTTTTAAACTCTAGTAGTGTTAGTACTTTAGCCTCCAACATGCTTGCAAGATGTTTGCCCTTAGATTTTTTCTTCTCATTGGTGCCTTTCATGTTTAAAGTTAGCTTTCATTCTCTTGATTTTCTGTTGCTTGATTCTTGTAGTTTCTTTATCTTGCCAAACTTTCTTTTCGTAGTCTCCTCACTTTCTATGTTTATCAGCCTGGCCCTGAGAAATCCATGTCCACCCATCTCAGGGACACTCATGCAGGGCTGTTAAAATGCACAAGCAGCGAAACGTGCTTCGTCCAAAGTGTTGGAGGGAGGCTTGGCAGGAGGCTCAGGTAGCACTGGGGCGGTTCATGTGGGAAGCTGAGATGAAGAAAGGGGCAGAAGGCGCGGTCCTGGGCCGGTGGCTTCTCTGTCCCATCTGGCGTAATCTGCCTGCCGTGAGACCCCAAAGAGAGCTTTACCACTCACGGACGCATCACAGGAGACCAAGTGACCTTCTGAGATGGCAGGGGGGCAAGCAGCTGGTCGAGGACCCACCCTCGGTGGGTGCGGCATCTTCTTGCCCAGGTGGACAGGAACAAATGGAATTAGACCAAGAACCCTGACCACTAGAATTCATATGGGTGGCTGAAACTGGGAGCTAAGGTCAGCACTTCACATTCCACTACGAAGTACTCTTGGCAGCGGGCAGCGTGTGGGGTTAAGTATTTAAAAAAGCCATTTAGCAGAAGATAGGATTGAATATCAGCTCTCCGGGGTTGATAGCTTTGTAAACCTTAATAAAACGACAAGGAAAAAGGAAGCGGCTCAATTTTATTAGAAGTAATTTCTGTAAAATGAAAAATTAGTGTAACTGAGATGACCAGTGGCCACAGTGTGGAGCAGTGACATTTGTAGTTACAGTCTGACAAAACCAAAGTAAAGCAGTGTCTAACCAGAAAAGTGAGTGGGATATGCCCCATGGTAGATATGGCACAGAGATAATTCACACAGCCAGGACATACAGCTGGAAGGCAGAGCACCGGCCTTCCAGGCCCCAAGGAGTGGGCAGTGAGATGTTAGGCCAGGGCTTAGGGTGTGGGTTGGAGGAGGAGGAGGAGGAGGAGGACAGCCCAGGATGCCGCCCCGCTCCTCTGCATGGGGCACTTGGCTGTGCTGTGGCGCCATGCAGCTCCTCTTCCCAGACACTCTTCTCGTGGCAAATAGAATAAGTCCGATTTCTTATGGCTCTTCTTTCTCCACTGTGAGATGCAAGGTGCCCTTTGGTTTCTGAAAAGATACCAGGAAGCTCAGTGTGGTGCGCATCTGTAGTTCAGCTGCTTGAGAGGCTGAGGCAGAAAGCGCTTGAGTTTGAGGCTAACCTGGACAATGTAGCGAGACCTTGTTCCAGAATAAGAAAGGATAGGGCTAAGACAGAGAGTGCAGTGGTACAGTGCTTGCCTGGTAAACCAGAGGCACTGGGTTCAGTCACTAGTGCAGCAGAAAGCAAGCCAGAGAGAGGGTTGTCATCAGTGCCTATTTAAAATTTAGGGATTCTGCAAATGGTTACTTTTGGTGATGCTTGAAAGAAATAAAGACCAACTTTTTAAATTCTCTGTCTCTTTACTTAAAATTTTAAATAATTCAGCTTTGTGCATTCTTTCTGCTGAGTTCTGTGCTGCTGGTGGGATCCATGGTTACAGTGAGGCCAGAGTGTGGAGCGCCCATCTGATGGGGCCCTTCAGCTGTTCTCACTATAGGTGCTGGTGTGATGAACATTGTGGCCAAGCCCGTTAAGTGTCCTAACCAAGTCTTCCTGGGTTTGGTTTGGTTTGGTTTTAATTTTAATTTCCCAGTGCTGGAGACTGAACCCAGGGCCTTAGACTTGCTAGGCAAGTGCTGATGAATGGTATGGAACTCAATTAGAAGCCCAGAAAATGTCAGATCGCACATTTGGGGAGAAGTTGTTTGTAGATACATACACAGTGTAAGAGACAAAACACTTTGATCTCCTTTACTCAATGGTAATGGTTTCTAAGACTTCAGCAATGCAGGATTTGAAAAAGAGGCATGTAGAGCAAATAGAAGTGAGGATAAAACATGTGGATTTGGGCCTGAAGGTGAAAATAAAGATGGACGTAATAGAAAGTGGGCAGCACTTGCAGCCTGGTGGGCGAGAGCATGGACAGCAGAGACAGTGACCTGGGCGCAGGGTCACATCTGCCTCTACCACTTGCTCTGTGGTCCTAGGAGGAAATTATTCCCTCTCCTTGGAGTTCCTGGGACCACTCCAATAGGTTACCACATATGGGGCGCAGTGGAGTTTAAAAGACATTTCCCCTTTTATGTATTGGAGGCTGGCAGGCCAAAGTCAAGGTGTGGGGAGGCTGTACTTCTCCCAAGCAGTGCTTCCCCTTCTCTACCAGGAGTTCTTGACACAGCTGGCTGGGAACTGCCCCCCTCCAACCTCTGCCCCCATCTTCACATGGCTTTTTTTGTCCTCTGTGTCCAGACCATTCTGGGTATGGTAGCACGTACCTATGATGTCAACATTCTGGAAGCCTAAAGCCGGAGGATCCCAAGTTTGAGCCCATCTTGGGCGAATATATCTCAAAATCAGAGATGAAACGAACTGGGTATGTGGCTCAGTGTGAAGGCCCCTCAGTGCCCAGTACCATTACCTCACAGAAAAGAGAATGCCAGGCTAGTGGAATTCACAGCCATGGTGTTTCTCTAGGTGATGTCACCTTAAATTGGTTATTACCTATAAAGACCTTGTTTTGAAGTAGAATCAGTGTGCAGCCCACTAAACTATGCACAGAAGTTGGCTCAGAGTCCTGTTGGTGGCACATGGGTGGTGTAGAATTGCTCTTCCGGAGTTGGTGTGGGCAGTATGTGGCCGGTGGCCTTGTGGCATGAAGTGCCTGATTCATGGAGTCGAGGCAGCCTGCCCAGGCCTCTGAGGGAGCAAAGGTTGCTGCTGGCACCCTGGAGCCTGGCTGTCCTGGAGGGCGGAAGGGGCCTGTTCCTCAGCTTCCCTGTGGCTTACGGGAGCTCAGAGGTGCTGCCCTGTGCTCAGCACAGACAGAGGAGTGCCTGCCTCAGTGTGCTGTCTTGGTGGACGAACCTTGGCTTTATCCGGGAAGATGAAGATTTTTACTGGGAATGTTTATACTGGTGATGTTTGTTACAATAGACAGTGAGGCCTAGGTGATGAGAAAACACCCACATTAATGAGCATGTGCACAGCCCTCCAGGAGCTTCTATTAAATAGTTTAAAAAATAAACAAAAAAAAGGTAGACCTTGTTGGGTGCCTCAGTCAGTGAGATGTTTGGATTGTGTAAGTCTGTCTGACCAAATTGTTAATTTTACATTTTCTCTTTACAGCTAAACCATTTACACAGCTTGTGAAGGAAATGCAGCTTCATCGAGAGGACTTTGAAATAATCAAAGTAATTGGAAGAGGTGCTTTTGGAGAGGTAAGGGAAACCTAGGCAGCGAAGTCGCCCCTGCTCGCGTTGCTGTCCCCTGGGGAGTTCAGGTGGCAAGCTCCAAAGACATTGTTGAGAGAAACAAGACAGAAGGAGAACTTCTGACTGGAATTACTCTCAGTATCATTGGGACTTAAGAATAGTTCCTTACAGGCATAAATAGGTTCAGAAAGATCTGTTTCCTCATTGTTAGATGACCTAGTACTTTCTAAAAACTACCAAGAGAGCCGACCGTAGTGGCTCACACCTGTAATCCCAGCACTTGGGAGGCTGAGGCAGGAAAGAGGATTGCTGTGAGTTCCAAGGCCAGCCTGGATAGGTAGCAAAGCTGAGACCACAAGCTTTCAAATAAAGACAAAAACAAAGAAAACTCAAAAGTACATTACATTACATGCAATGCTTAGATCTCTGCCTGTGCCTCTGTAACCTGCACCCCAAGGGACGTGGTGTTCCTGGCCCTAGAAAGTTCCCTCCTCTTCCATATCGCCACCCCACAGAAGCAGCGACTCTGAGTGCCACCAGCAGGGCTCTTTTCATTTAAAAGAACCACAGGAAAACTCAGGTGTCAAATACAATAAAAGTCTATCTAGTGAGCGTGTTTGATGAGGTGAACTGTGGTTTTGTTATTTAGCGAGAAGACAGGGACAGCCTTTTAAATGAAAACCAGCCTTCCTGCAGTGCGCACTCGGCCTACCTGCCTGCCCTCTGCCCTTATCTTCACAGCCGGCCCAGACTGCCTGCACACTGGCCAGAGGGCGTTTTGGAGAGGAAGGTGGGAGGCAGCAGTCAACAGGGAAAATGAAAGAAGGAAGGGAAAATTGTTTTGCCAGAATAGTTCATAGCTATTTTTAGGGTTTTCTTTGACACAGAAGTCGATGCAGTACTGAGTATTTGTGAGTTTCAAAGACCATGATACTGGTTGGTGCCTGGACCTCCCAGGTAAGGAGGAGTGTGCCCTCCTTGTCCAGGCGTCCGCCTCCTGGAGAAGCTCTCAGTGTGCTCTTCCTGTGCAGGTGCTGCAGCTGTTGCACCCTGTCCCTGTGTCCCTGGCGATCCTCAGCAGGCTTCACACCATCCCGTCCCCAGTGCCCCCTCCTGCAGCTGCCGGCTGGCCTGATGTTGTCCTTTGCCTCCCAGCTGCACACGTGTGGACCATGGGCCGGCGGCCATGCCCTGCCTCAGTTACTCTCCTGAGCAGTTCTTGTCACAGTGCTGAAATCAGCCCCCTTCACTTCCTTACTTCTGAGGTTACCCTGCGTCAGATATGTGAGCCCTGCCAGCTCAGTAGCTGAAGTGTCTTCCCTTCTATATGAGTTCTATATGTTTTGTTTTGTTTTTTAAAGAGTAGGACAGTTTTTTAGAGAAAAGCAATGGGCAGTAGGAATGTGGAGTAGTGGTAGCTCCTGAGAAGCAGGAAGGGGTACTGAATGAGCTGCCCATGACTGAGTGGTATTTTATCGTGTAATAATTGTACATGTTTATGGGGCAAAGTGACATTTCATGGTATGTGTGCACTGTGGGATCAGATTGGGGCAGGTAGCCAGCCGTTAGGTCTGTCAGCGCTGGTCATTTCGTTTATGTTTAGGCCCTTCAAGCTCCTGGTGGCTTGTAATAATAACAAAAACAATATTTAGTTTAGTCTCAGTGCCAAGCCAGAGAGCACCAGGATCACACTAAACAGGGACCCAGTATGGCTCCCTGCAGGACAACACTGATGTATCGGTGTGCTGCATGTCCAGAGCCCTCTGAGAGCAGAGACACTGTCCAGCCTGTCCCTGAGCGAGGCCGGAAGGCGGAGCGTTGCCCTCCCCTGGGGCAGAGTGGCTCTAGAAACCCCTGTTGCTCTTCTGTGCCTGGGCGGCAGCCTGAGAGACTGTGCCTCCCCATCTGTTGCTTCTGAAGTCACTTTAAAAAACAGCAAGACTTGGTCAGAAACCATTTCGGATAAGCAGAGCAACTGCGTGACTAGCATGAGTGATGCAGAGGCAGCCAAACTTAGGACCTCTTCCTTGCCAGGCAGGCGCTTATGCCACTGAGCTAAGTTCCTAGCCTGGCATTGCCTTGTTTTTAACATTAGATTTTACTTCTGCATTTCACATTGATATATTCTCAAGTTAATGAGTTTTTTTCTGTACAAAGATACATTCTGTGTATTTTCTCAGCCATTTTTGCATACTTTCTGGCAATAACCTGTGCCTGACAGGCCTCCTGTAAAGAACTGTGCCCTCAGCAAGAGTCTTGAGTGTCACTTGTCGTCCTCAGATGTCGGTGTTTCCCTGCACAAGTTGTCAGCTCTGTCATTGCTTCCAGAGCTCTTACTCTTATACTTCAGGGGCTCGCCACACACTTTGCTTTTGGTGTATTCAGATCGTAGGCAAACAGAATGGGAGAAACCCACCACCACAGGAGTCTAGAGGTGGCCAGAGGAGGACTTCAGTCAGCAGAGCTGGCCAGGACCCTGAGGGGCAGGGCGGGGCCCAGTCCGTCCCTTAGCAGGCTGGGCTGTCTGGGAACTGTGCTGCTGCATCCTGGACCGTTACAGCACACAGCTGCGAGTGACACTGTACTCCTTGGTGGGTGGATTAAACCTGCTGAACCTCAGACTCCATATTGGACGTTACAGTGCCCCGCCCACATTGTTGGGGGACCGCTGTCAGGGTGCTGGTGATGCAGGGCTCACAGCTGTGTTGGTTCTCACGTGTCCTTGCCCTTGGCGTTTTGTGCAGTGACTAGAAAGGCGGGGAAGCATGGGGCAGGCTTGAGCACTGTTCTGTGATGGCTGTGCCAGGAGACATGCCGGCTACATGCCATGGGCAGCAAAGGGACAGTGCCACAGCCAGGGGAGCTCACAGGGTCAAGGTGGGGATTTGGCCAGTGAACCACACCTGTATGGGATAGAATGTGCTGTGCAGTGTGCACCATCGCAGCAGGGCAGGTGGTGGAGAATGGCCTTATGGGAGATTTTGCAGGAATTAAAAGCCCAGGAGGACTTTCTGGCAGAGGTGGCATTGGAGTCACATCTTGGAGGACAGCCGACAGCCTGCATGCTGAGCCAGCTCCCTGTCCCTGCCCTGAACATGCTATGCAGCAACTCTGCCACTCTTCTCAGCAGTCGAGGAGGCCAGTCCTGCTCATGCCCAAAGAGTGAATTTGTCCAGGTTACTCCAGGGCTCAGACAGTGCTCACTGCCTATGTGGCACAGTCAAGATATGAAGAGCTGGCGCCGCAAAGGCTGGCAAAGAGCATAAGATGGAGATGCATCTCTGGGTGTCATGCACAGCTCTGAGCGCAGCCAGAGAGCACAGGAGCCACAAACATTCACAGTAGGGAACTCCAGACATGACCCCAGTGGGGGACAGTGACCCCTTCTGTGCCTGTTGCTGGGTATTGAAGCTCAGAGTCCAGTCGCAGTGCAGTGATGGTCAAGTTCCCGTGCTCGCAGGAGCAAATCTGCATTTATCAGGAAAAGTGTACTTTCTCAGATCGTTCTCCAGGGTTTCCGGAAAAGGGTTCTGCTGTAGCCATATTTTTGTCAAACCCACCTTTATTCCAGGTTGCTGTTGTCAAAATGAAGAGCACTGAGCGAATTTATGCAATGAAAATCCTCAACAAGTGGGAGATGCTTAAGAGAGCAGAGGTGAGTGTGGGGTGTCACATAAGCAGGTGGGGTATGTGTGTGTGTGAGGGGAAAGTGCAGCCATTCTCCAGCCCAGGCTCCCCTGCTAGGCACTGGGCCCTCTGTGCTAAGAGGCCAACAGCAGCCTGAAGCTTGGAGGCCTTGGTTGAGGTCCAGGGCAAAGGCCCTGTGTAGATGCAGTAGATGCAGTGTCCTTGCATGCAGCCTTGGTGCACTTAGTTCTTTTTTTTTTTTTTTTTTTTGTGGTACTGGGGATCGAACTCAGGACCTTGTGCTTGCCAGGCAGGTGCTTATGCCACTGAGCTAAATCCCCAGCCCAGCACTTAATTCTTGCTGGCCTTGGTTTCTGCCCCCTCACACCCCTTCCTCCCTGGTGATGCTTTCTCGGACCTGCTCCACCCACCATGTCCTGCAGGTAATTGTGCAAACTGTTGGCTTCAGCTGGGTCTCACTCCCGAGTGCCAGGTCTCAGGGAATGTGGCAGCTTTTTTCCTTCAGCCTCCACCTCGCTCTTCAAGTGCACATCTGAATCGCTGATAGCTTGTTCTTCCTGTCTGTATCTGTGCTGTCTTTCTTGCTGTGGCACCTGGGACAACATCTGACACCCATTTGTTGCCTAAGAAGTGGGTGTGGATGGCTGAGTTGCCATCATTTTGCAGTTGCCTGGTAGCCCCGTGACTCTGACTCAGCCCTGCAGTCCATGGCCTCTCAGAGGCATGGAGTCTTTTTCCATCTTCCCGCTGTCCCCACGTCTCGTAGTCTGCTCCCCCAGCCTGCCTCAGTGCACCCCTGTGGGAGTCAGGTCAGCTGTGAGGCTGTTTCTCTGTGGGGAGAGAGACAGTAGGGGCTCCACAAACATGGAGGTGCAAGGTGTTTGGGTGCAGCCAGTGGATCTTATGAGGCAGCGTGGCTGCTGCGGTCTGAACTTGATTACACAGATCTGACTTCATTGCCTCCTCAGAAAGGGCCTAGAGTATTTGCCAATCATTGTGATGACCTTAGAGTTTATGTAATAGGACATTTGTGTGATTGGTCTATGTACATCACATATGTATCCAATAGAATGCTAGTTATAAATAATTATCTTTCAATTCTCATTTAATAGATTTATCCTAAACATTACATTTATAGTATTGGCATCTAAAAAGTTTTCTTTAAAGCCAGATTAAAGAGATTTATCAGTACAAGAGCCACTAAGCTGTGTCATAGTGTTTAAAACAGGCCAGTTTATTTCACCTTCTTTGGTCATTAAAACACACTGGAAGAGGCTGGGGATTTAGCTCAGCTCATAAGCGCCTTCCTTGCATGTGTGTGGTCATGAGTTCGATCCCTGATGCCGATAAAAAATGAAAAAGACAAAACACACACACACACACACACACACACACACACACACACACACAGAGGAAGCCAGTCATGGTGACACACATCTGAATTCCACTGCTCAGAAGGATGGCAAGTTAGAGCCCAGTCTCCACACTCACCCCAAAAAACTCATACCTAAAAGCTACCACCCCCCCACCAACACCAAGAGAACTGCAGAGTAACACATTGCCTGTCTGTAAGTCACCAGGTAGGACATCGTGGCTTAAGACTGGGCCATACCCTGACCTTGCTGGGCAGAGTCTGGGTGCACCAAAAGCTGCCCCTGGAGAAGTATGTCTCCGATGGAGGCTCCCAGGCTGGCTGTGGCTACAGTAGGGACTATATTCTGCAGTATACATTTCCTTGGGGCAGTGTGCTGGCCAGTAAGCAGGAGCCCAGGCTCACCAGCACCCAGGCATCTGGGCTGGTCCTGCCCGGGCCCAGGTGGACAGCTATTGGCCAGGGAGGTCGGGATGAGGCTGAGCTTTTACCTGCATGTCTGGACGCTGACTCCCTCTGTTGCCCCATGTCACGTGATCATGGGTGGACTCTGGGTGCATGTTTGTTTTGAAAGGGATATGTCTTACAAGTTTTGAGGAGAAAAATTTACAGAAATTTCAAATGAGAGCAAGTAAAGCAGGCTTCAGGACTTCACGGCAAGACTTCTGTAGTGTGCTCTCCAGGATAGCACTACTTCTAAGCAGAGGTGCCCATGCCCAGTAGGGTATGCACACTCTGCCTCCCTGTTCCCATCTCTACGTCTTTAACTGTTCAGGTAGCCTCTGGCTGTTGGTGTGCGGAATGGCTTCTGTTTCTCTCTGAATAAGCCATGCTTCAGATACCAGGCACAAGACATGGTTGTTGTGGTGTGGCACACACCCTGGGGTATGTGAGGAGGCCAGCCTGGGGCAGTGGAACCAAGGGGAAGCCCGAATCCACTCATGAGAGTGGGGGACCCCATGGGGTGGGGGAAAGGGGCTGTAATGATGGTCCTAAGAATCGGAAGGGCAAGCACGTCCTCAGTGGCCTTTGCACAGGCCTGGGGCGCAGAGAGGGGAAGGACCGAGAAGCTCAGCTGTTTAGCTGCTGAGGGCCACAGGAGAGGTCTGGGTGGCTATGCCCACACCATGCCCTGCAGGACACACAGCTCACTGCCGCTTCCCCCCCACAGACCGCATGTTTCCGCGAGGAGCGCGACGTGCTGGTGAATGGTGACTGCCAGTGGATCACGGCTCTTCACTACGCGTTCCAGGATGAGAACCACCTGGTAGGTGAGGTGCCCAGCTTCCCTGAGCCGGAACTCCTCCCTGAACTGGCACTCCTTCCTCTGCCGGCACTCCTTGTGCTGCCTGTAGGATATGCCCAGCTGCCGAGCTCAGGTGGGCTGTGCTGTCATAGCAGCAGGGTTGGGTTGCCACCGACACAAAAGTCTGCATGGAAGCCTGTACCTCTCCTCCAGTCACTGGCTATCTGAGTCCTCTGGACCGTCCTGTTCAGTAGCCTGGAGCTTTGAAACATCTGATATGAATCAGGCGTGAGGACCGTAGACGGCCTGGGGATGGACAGTGCTCTGGCCCTGGGCTGCGGACCTGCCTTTCTGGCCGCCTCTGGGCTGTCTGGTGAGAATGCTATTGCAGGCCATCTCACTGTGTTTTCAGTCACTCTGGTCATCTGCTTATTCTTACTTTATTTCCTTAGTCAACAAGCACCACGGTCTACACGTGTGTGGAGCTGGGCATGGCACGGGACAGCCAGCCTAGAAGTGTGGGAAAAGCAGGCGCTGCCCTTGAGCCCAGAGTGCCCTGCAGGAAGCCCACTCAGAACTTTCTCTCTGGAGGCGTGTTGTGGGTTTCCTAACGTTAGAGCGCCCTCAGCATGGGGCTGGAGGTGCGTGGGCCCTGGGCAGACTGGAGAAGCAAGTCTCAGCTTCCCTTCCTCCCCATGGTGCTCCTTCTACTGCCATGGCCAGACAGGCTCTGACCACCATTGTTACCATAGCCTCCAAGCAGGGAAACCTGAGGCCCCTCTATTTTTCATTTTTGAGGTATGAGGGAGGATTGAATCCATGGTCTTTGCACTGAGCTGTAGTTGGCCAGCTGCTTTTACTTTGAGACAGGGTCTTACTAAATTTCCTAGGCTGGGCTTGAACTTGTGGTCCTCCTCTTCCAGCCTCCCAGAGCGCTGAGATTATAGGTGTGTACCACCACACCCAGCTCTTCTTTTCCCAAAGTGACCAACTTAACCTCTTCATCCTGAAGCGCCTCAGTCATGTTTTTCATTTATGCATGAAAAAGAGAGTAATGTAGGCTTTCCTTTATTCATTTTAGAATAGACTCTCAAACATCAAAAATTTACTGGCACATGTTACAATCCTAGCTCCCCTGGAGGCGAGGTGGGAGGATTGCAAGTTCAAGACCAGCCTGTTCAGCATAGTAAGACCACATCTCAAAAGACCACAAAACAAAACCCTTCTGTTTGAACAAATATTTGGTAAAACATGATGCTGTCTATGTAAATTCAGCTGTACACATTGGTTCCAGCAGAGGGGCAGCTGGTGCCACTGAGCAGCTGCAGCACTTCAGGCCCGTGGTTGCCTTGGGAAGTCTTCCCAGTGAGCCCGGAAGTCAGGCCCTTGGCTTTTCATTGTTTATAAATGGAGTGGCCGGGGCACAGAGGGGCGCAGCTACATGCCCGTGGTCCACACACAGGTGGCTGCCACAGTGCCAGGGCTCCTGGGCCTGCCTGGTAGATGGCAAGAGGCAGGTGACTAGGACTGCATCCATGGGACCTTCACCTTCCTGGGTCAGCAAGTGTCCTGAGGGCTTGGTTGTCTCTCTGGCTCATTACCTTTTTGATAGGAACTTAGTGGATTTCCAGGGAGCACTGGGCAGCTCGGGTCTGTAAAGAGGAAGGTGCTCTTTTGGTTTATTTCAGATACTTTCCAAAGTCAGCATAGTGTGCTGCTGGGTAACGTGTGAAGCAGGCATTAGCCTGTGTACTCTGAACTGAGACACATTGATTAGGCATCTCCAAGGAGGTGCCTTTCGCCTGAGTTTTGGAGTGGCCTGGTGAGGACAGTGATGCAGAGTGGATGCAGGAAGCCGGTAAAGGCGTGGCCTCCTATGGCAGTTTTCCCATAGGTGGCTGAGAGTCCTGGCGGGGGAGCAGCAGGTCTGCTCCCTACAGATAGGTGTGTGCAGGAAGTCCCTGTGCTGGTCCTGTCTGGGGTGACCAGGTCCATGTGGACGTGCAGGCTGCTGTCTGTGACTCTCATGTTGTAGAGATGCAAATCCCTGACCCCAGGAGCCTGCCAGTGCTATGATCTCTAGCTTGCAGGCTCACGGAAATTAAACCACTTCCCACCCACTGAAAGTGTGCTGCCCTGTCACCTTGGCTCGGTATCTTATGTCGCGTGGAGAGAAGTCCCTGGGTTAGTTCTCACTCAAAAACTTTTTACTTGTGTGCCCTACATACACTAGACTATACGTCATGTGAGCTTCTTTTCCCATCAGATTAGTGCTTCATAGAATGCTTTTTATCTTTGTTGATTTCTAAGCTGGCCCAGGTACCATTGGGCTCAATCTCTCTATGGCTGTTGGTCCATGCTGGTTACTCTTTGTGGGCCAGACACCTGGGCTGTTGGCTGTCCTGGTCCCTCCCCTTGTGTCCCAGCAGTGCTGTCCTCCCCTTCTCTGGAGACCTGAGAGTGTGCCACTGTCTTTACTGCCCACCACCCCTCTACATAGCACCCTGCGCTGCCTGGACTGTGGGACTGTGTCACAACCTTCCCACTGCCCATCGGGCTGGTGGATTGGAGCCTGGTTTTATCCACTGATCTGCACTGGTCTGGAGCACCACCCCTCAAGGCCTCTGCTTGACTCCCTTTGCATGCCCAGATCAGGCTTCAGGAGCCCCTGGCCACGCTGCCAGCAGCAAGGCCTGCACCTCTGGCCCTCTTGCTGCTGCCGCTTGCTATGGTCTTCCTCCCTGTACTGACTCAGGCTCTGCTAGTAAGGCCTGTGCCTTCTGCCATGCGTCCTGGTCCCTGGCTCCCAGAGTGCCCACAGGCTTACTGCTGCAAGTGAGTTGACGTGGCAAAACGGCCACGGAGAGGCTCAGTCATCAGGGCCCATCCTGGGGTTCACGCTGCGCTTCATGGTGGAGATGGCACAGGTGGAGGGGTCCTTGAAGGCATGGCGAGCAGCTGCTTGTTGACGTTTTGTTCAGAACAGGGCTCCTGATGCAGGCTCCTCTGGTTCCTCAGACTCAGACAGCAGCATGGTGGAGGTTTCCTGTCTTGGGCAGGACCTGTGCAGTGACATGCTGAAGCCTGATCTAGGTGTGTCGTTGATTAGCTGGGTTACATGGGCTGATCACTGAAGCTCCCCTGTGGAATGGGACCTTGACTATACGTAGGACTGGGCTGGTGTGAGGGTTGACAGGAGCCATAGGAAAGGACAGGCTGCCTGAGGGTGCAGAGCCTGGTGGTCACACAGAGAGCAGTAGCCATAGCTGTTCATAGGCCCTTGATATATTCACTGATTCATTCCTTTGTTTATTTAGAGATAGGGTCTCATTACATAGCCTAGACTGGCCTTGAACTTGCAGTGATCCTCCTGTCTCAGCCTTCAGAATGCTGGAATCACAGTCGTGCAGCACCATGTCCAGCTACTCTTTGATACCTTTAAAGGAGTAAACCTAGGAGTGGTGTTTTCTTCTGTGTGAAGGATTGAGGTGCTGGACCAAAACGTTATGTTTTCAAAGGAAATCGATATTGGGGTTGGTGCGTCTCCAGTGTTCCCAAGTATTTCTGAAGGGGAGTGGTCTCAGCAATGCATGATCAACTGCCACGCAGCCATAGGCTGTCGTGGTCTTGCCCATCCTTGGCCTCTGACCAGTCAGATACCTGTACTGGGACCTCCTCAGTACCTGGGCCTCTGTGGCCTGAGCTGCCACCCTCAGACAGAAGGTCTGCATAGGCAGGGCTCGGGGTCCCCCGCACCGGGATGCAGCCTGCCCGGTGCCTGTCTACTGATGAGGAAGACTTCTCTTTTGTTGCTCTGGTTTTTGTGGGAACCACAGCCTTTCTGACTGGTCCGTGGAGTGTGGCATAAGTGTGCCCCTCTCAGCTCTCTGATGATGCCATCTTTCCCACAGGAGCTGCCAACCCTGTGTGGTGGTGGACAGCCACCTTCCTGACCTGGCCTGCCACCTGCCTGTGCCACAGGGCCAGGCAGACCATGGGGCTTGGCGGATAATAAATCTTGTTCTTCGGGTCACCAGCTTTTGGAGGGCTTTCCCCAACTTCAGCCCTTTAGTTGTTTGTTTAGTGATTAAATAATCATTAGTTTGTTCTCTGCCACATGCGCAACGTAAATTGTGACAGCACTATGGTATGTTGGGGTAGCCTGCCCAGAAGGGAAACGCTAGGTGGCCACATCCAGCCTTGGAGAGTCACAGGGCTCCTGAGGGAAGTTTGGCCCTCACTTGTTGCATTCAGTGGTAACTGAGTTGTCCTGTCTTCTTCTCGTCCCGGCCTATAGTACTTGGTCATGGATTACTACGTGGGTGGCGATTTGCTGACCCTGCTCAGTAAATTTGAAGACAAGCTTCCAGAAGACATGGCGAGATTCTACATTGGTGAGATGGTGTTGGCCATCGACTCCATCCACCAGCTTCATTACGTGCACAGGTAACTGCCCTTGTTTGTAGGCAGCGCACTGAACATTGCTTTGGCTGTCCTCCTTTGCCCCAGGCCCCGGAGGCCCCAGGAGGCCTGCAGTAGTGACTCCCCCTGTGAGCAAGTGAACACAGCATGGTTTCCCCACAGCACACCGGCTCCCCGGGTTTTCAGTTCTGTGATGGCCTGGCCCGTCAGCTTCTGCTCAGCTGTGCCCTTCCTGCAGGCCACACTGCGAGAGGGGCTGTGGGGTGGTCACCCATGAAGCCCTCACAAGGGGGTTCGGGTTGGAGAAGGGGGCTGCCGTCGCAGCGGCGGGGAGGTGGTGCTGGTGGTGTGACGTGGTCTCGCACGGGGCTTTTCTTTTGTTCTCTGTCTTTAATGTGCAGGAGTTATGCTTCTCTATGTAATTGCTGTTTTGACCTTTAAATTTAATGTTTCAGCTTCTTTACAGAACTTAGCCTAATTCACAATAGAGAAGTGTGAGATCTTGTCACAGGCCTTCAAGGAAATTAATTTAACCACCTTTTTAATGCCTTATCCTGCCTGTTTGCTCCTCATTTTTCAATCGATTGCATAGTAGCTTTTCTCTCTTTTGACCTTCAGGCAAGCTGACATGAAAATACGTGTGTGTTGTGTGTTGGTTTGGTTTGGTTTGTTTTTTTTTTTGAAACAGGTTCTTTCTATGTAGTTCAGGCTCGTCTTGAACTCACCGTGTAGTCTAGGATGGCCTCCAACTTGCAGTGATCCTCCTGCCTCAGACCCCAAGTGCAGGGGTGGGGTGCCACTGTGCCTAGCTTTGACCTGGAAATATGTAATTCAAAAGCTTTTTTTCCTCTAAGACAACTCATTGAGTTTCAGTGCATGGACGACCCTAGCTTTCTTTTTGGTTTGTAAGTTTGCAGTTTATTTATAGTGGTATCTCGGTTTGTGAACTTAATTTGTGTTACGAGTTTGGAGATGTCTTTGTTTGTGTGGAAAGACGGTGTGGTCATGTTTGTCACCCAGTGTGGAGTTTGCAAACAAAATACAGCCAGATGCTTTTGTTTGTGAACCAAATTCCTTGCAAACAGAATCATTTGTGAACTGAGGAATTATTGTATATTTTCTGCAGTCAAAATTATATATCTTTTATTTATAGTTAATGCTTTTTGTATTTTATTTAAGAAACTCTTCCTAAACTCAGAATCTTACAGATATTATCTACATTTCTATTGAGTCTACTTAGCATTTTCCCTTTTAACATAATCAGGTGTGGGGAACAAATCATTTTATGAAAAAAATAAATTTTCACAGCTAAATAAAAGAGTAACAATTGTTAATATGTATTGTTGTATCCTCAAAGTAGTTACTCCATACAAGACATAAGCCAAAAAGAGCCTAATAAAAAAGAGCCAGGTTGGTAATAACCTGGACACCCCCCCCCGCCCCCCAGCCTCAGAGTGGAGCTGTCAGTCTATACCAGAAGCCGGGGGGGGGGGCAGGGTCACAGTGCTGAGTTTCCTGGGCATAGGGGTGGTGCCAGTGACTGGCCATCGTACCATGGCCCTTTTTAGAGGTCCCTGGAGGGTGAGGCCTGCCGCCTATCGGCTACTTTGGCAGTCTGACCTGTAGGTGCTCTGGAGTGAGAGGTGGTGGGAGCTGGGGCCCAGGCCACCCAGTGCGTGTGTCATTCCCTTCCCGAACTCAGCTCCAGGCACAGGAGAGGCAAAAGCTGGAGGGGCAGAGTTATGGAGGATTATAGAGCAAGAAAGTGTGACTGCGGAGAGGGCAGAGAATGAAATAAGAACAGGTGGAAGCTGGGCATGGCAGTGCACACCTGTAATCCCAGCACTCTGGGAAGCAGAGGCAGGAGGATCGCCCATGAGTTGGAGGCCAGCCTTCGCTACAAAGTGAGTTCAAAGGCTAGCCTGAACTACATAATGAAACCCTGTCTCAAAAAGAAAAAGAAAAGAATGAAAGGAATTAGTGCTGGAATGTTCAGAGAACAGAAAAGGTCTTGGAAAACAAACTGGGAATATACAAAGTTCTGTAGATGGTGAAGAGGAGGAATCCAACAAAGACCACCCTGAGAGGAAGCTCAGGCAGTCAGGGTAACTCCAGAGCCTGCTTAGCAGTGGCCTCTGCTCTGGAGTCAGCCCCGGGAAGCACCCCAGGAACCCCTGCTAGGGAGCGTTTGGCAGATTGCGCAGGGCAATAGATCAGCCTCCTTCCCAGCACATCAGAGCAGGAGCAGGGATGGCAACACCTTGCAGATACATAGGGACAACTATAAAATACTTACATAAAAATATTTTTACACTTGGTCTTAACCAAAAGGATATCATAAAAAATTGTCTTGAAACACTTGTATAAAAGTGGTTATGTGGGATTTTTTTGTTTTTGTATTAAATTTTGTCCTTAAACGGCTAGAGCCCCACAGGTTTAGTTTTAGGTTGGTGTAGGGTAGACACCACAGCTTTTCCGGAACTATCCTAGAATAAGGTGGCTGTCTCAGGTGTTGGGACTAAGGGTATTCCTTTACTCAGAGTGTACTTGTTGTTTCAGGAGACTTAACATTAGACTTGTGTCCAGTCTTACCATCCGAATCTACGTTGTGTCAGGCGATGCAGAGGCATCTTTACAGTAATATTTTCTTCTCTGCTCTGTGCAATCCAGCCAAGGATCACATATTACATCTAGTTGCAGTGTCCTTTTTTCTTTTTCTTTTTTTTTTTTTTAGGGGGAGAGAGTACTGAGGATTGAACTCAGGATCTTTCGCCTGCCAGGCAGGCGCTTATGCTGCTGAGCCAAATCCCTGGCTGCAGTGTCTTTTTAATCCTTTTTAAACTGAAATAGTTCCTCATTCTTTGTCTTACAGGTCATTGGCACACTTAAAGAATATGATGTGCCTGCTTCTGTAATAGCACATTCCTCAGGTTGAGTGGGAGGCTGTTTCCTCCTGGTAGATTGGGATCAGGCGTCTCTGGCTAGCATGTGTGTACATGAATGTATCATGTCGTTCTGGGCACTCACACCAAGATGTAGACAGTACCATCAGCCCTACAGTGCCGGTGAATTAGATCACCCGATTATGATTGTGTTAGATTTATTTCCTGCTGTGTAATTAGTACTTCTTTCCTTGGGGGGCAGATACTTTAAGCCAGAATCTTCCTATGAATCTCCTACCTGGTTCAGGTGTCCACAGTCAAGCTCCAGGGGCATCGGCTGGCTGCGACCTGCTGCTATTAGGAAGCCCCTCTCATGTTTGACTCTGCACCATCTGTGTGGATGCAGGGAGCTTTTTTCCTCTTAGTGCATTATAATTCGTCACTGTCTTGACTGTCTTTGTCCCCACATTGTCCTGTGTTGGCTAGCAGAAGCCCCTCCAGCCGGTCCCGCTTGTGACTTGCCCTCCCTGGGTTTCGCATGAGGATGACCTCAGATTCTGGCGCACCTTTACCGTGTGTCCTGGATAGGTCATTTCTTTGTGCTGCTCTTGTCCTTCAGCAGGGAGTGGTTTGAATGACCAAGACCTAGGTGCTGGGTGTGCTCCTTGCAGCAAGGGTACCTTCTGCATAGCTGTCAGAGGACAGGCACAAACAACAGGTGTGTGCACACAAATCAGCATGTGTCTGCACACGTCTCCATGTACAGCGAGTGAGCTGTGAGTTCACTGGGGGCCCCTCCCATTCCACATTTTGGGTCTCTCCCTGCAAGAGCCTCTGGCTCCTCGTGACATGAGCTCAGCTGCTCAGACCTCAGATCTATGGTGTGACCAAGACACTCCGAATTGCCTTGCCCTGCGCTGCCCCAAACTGACCCTTCCACCCCAAGCCCATGCCCCACTCGCCCCTCCCTGAAGTTTATGTTCACAAGTCCTATGGGCCTGGATGGGTCCATTCTCCTGTCCACATTGCTTCCATGTGGCCAAGTCCCAATGCCTCGCTGAAGGCTCTGCTGCAGGAAGTGCAGCTAGGAGAGGGGTTGGCCCTCCCTGTTCCGCCCGCTGGCGTCTGCTCTTGTGTTCATGTGTTCTTATTTCTCCCTTCCTATAAGCTGGGATGCTAAGTTACTAGATGTGTATGCTTTGCATGTTGTATGGCCCAAGTCCTCCCTCATAGGTCATGGAGCTCGGCATTCTGTTTGATGTGTGTGTAGTGCTCTGTTCAGTGGAAAACCCATGATTACTCGCCAAGCTCCTGGGAGGAGTGGTCCTGAGGTAGATTCCAATGCTCTGTGGTTATAGACGTAACAATGGGTACCCTAGTGCTTGAGTGCGGTTGCATTGCTGGTGTAAGCAGTCCAGTGCAAATACAGCTTTATTACAGGGCCCCAATTCCTGAGGGCTCATTGTCCCTACACCTGTGGGGTGCGTTTGTCCTTGTTGCCTGGCTAACAGTGTTGTGAAGCTCCGAAAGCTTTGCCATCTGACGAATGACAGCAGCACAGTGGCTGTGGCCTCCTCTACTCTGCACTGGCCTCCACGTGGTTTCCTGTTGACTCACTTTTACAGGATTTCTGCCTCCTTCCCTTCAGTTGCTAGAGAAATCCTTGTCTGTAATACGTGTTGCAATATTCTTCCCAGTTTCCCATTTGCTTTTTGACTTTGCTGTTGTGGCTTTGTTGCCATGTACATTAAAAGAAAAAATTGTAATCTTGTTTATTGGTCTTTTGTTTATTTTTTCTTAATATTTTTGGCTGTTCCTGCTGGAGTTGCTATTTGGTAGTTTGTTTTTTATTCATACAGTTTCATTTCTTACATAATGGGTCTCCCATCCATTCAGGGTTTGTTGTTTGTGTCTCTGGGGCGGAGCACTGGCCCCAGGGCATTGCACTGCTGGTCTTGCTCCTGTGCAGCTGAGGAATGGCTCTTGTTCTGCCCTAAGGCAGACCGCCCGCGGGAGGGCCCCTGTGTATGCCTGGCTTTCAGCACCTCTTCACGGTCATGTCTCTGTCCCTTCGTGCTGCTGTGGGTCCCCTCATCTGTCTTTCTGTGGACCCGTGCTATGCCATGGAGGCCGCGCTATTGGGGCACCTGCTTTTGCTCTTCGTGGCTGTTTTGTGTTGGATTCTTCTGTTTCAGCTTCTGAGGCTCCAAAAGCCAGGAATTGTTTCTGCTTTTGCTGGTTCTGTTTTGTTTTGTTTTGTGTTTGTTGTTGAGACAGGTTTTGCCACATAGTTGGGACTGGCTTCGAACTCACTGTAGCCCAGGCTGGGCTTCAAATGGAGGTGGTCCTCCTGCCTCAGCCTTCGGAGTGCGGGGTCTGGAGTGTGTGCGACGACACCTGGCTTGTTTTTGTTTTGTAGTTGTGTTGGGCCTCTCTTCTCCCTCTGCTTCTGGAAAGTCCTTGGCTTAGGGTGAAGTACTCTGCCCTGTGTTTGGGTTGCTCCAGGTCTGGCTGTGGATGTGCGTGGCTTCTCGCAGCCTAGCTTGCATGTCCGTCTCCAGCTGCCTCCCTTATCTTTTCACACTTCCTCTGTCTTTAGTCCTTTTCACTAGATATTCTCCTTTGGGGCTCTTTGGCTATGTGCAAGCCTCTTGGATACAGACTGTGTTGTCTCAGTCTTAAGGGAGATTGGCTAGGTGGGAGCTGGACAGGAAAAGCAGTGCCACTGGCTGGGTCAGTGGGGCTTTGGTGACTCACAGTGGTGGCAGCAATGATGGCTGCTGCCCTTCCTGTCGGGCTGCCTGTGGCCTTGCGTGGTGGCCACACTCTTCTGGCAGTGCTGGAGTCCGTTCCTCCCACTGCCAGTGAAGGGCTGTGACCCGGCGTGCTGCACGGAGATGGTTCACTTGCACATTTATCTTACACACAGAGACATCAAACCGGACAACGTGCTTTTGGACGTGAATGGTCATATCCGCCTGGCTGACTTCGGATCGTGTTTGAAGATGAATGATGATGGAACTGTGGGTATTTCTTCTGGAAATTTCCACTTGGTTTTGGCTTTGGCTTGTAGTTACAAGGAGTTCAAATGTTCAACTTGAGATACAATTAAGAAATCAGCTTTACTATCTGTGTGTAATGGTGCATGCCCATAATCCCAGCACTCAGGAGGCTGAGGCTGTAGAGTCCGTGACTTCAAGACCAGCCTAGAATACACAGTTGAGATTTTTTGTCTCAAAAAGAAAAGAACAAAAGGGGCTGGGGATTTAACTCAGCAGCATAAGCACCTGCCTTGCAAGCAGGCAGTCGTGAGTTCGATCCCCGGTACCGATAAAAAGGAAAAAGACCAAAAAAAAAAAAGAAAAGAAAAGAACAAAAGAAATCAACTTTATTAATGTAGATTAAGAAAATGAATCCGTTTAGGAGACAACAAAAGATTCCTGTTTAAAAGCATCCTTGTTGTGTTTTGAGCTGTGAGGGTCATGTGTGTGCCTTTAGGAGAACGGTCCCCTTCCTGAGACCCCCATGCACAGCTCCCAGCATCCTTGACGAGCCCTGCCCGGCTTGCTGTGTGACCTCCTGCTGCTCAGGGCTTGTGTGGCAGTGTTGTGGTTCAAGACCCAGGGCTTTGTGGTCAGTGGGACTCGCAGGCCAGCAGCACTCCTGCTGTAGGACAGAGGCCCCCTGCTTGGCCCTCCACCCCAGCACCATGGCCTGTGGTGGTGTCCCCCAGCCTGGACAACCTTCAGCCCTGCTCTCGCTGCCCTGGGAGCTGTCCTGTGTGTCTGGGAGTGTGACACTTCCCAGGCGAGCAGCCCATCCTTTGCTCCCAGTGCTTGCCAGGCAGCTGTCTGCAAGCTCCAGCTGGCAGTGTGTCACAGGCACTACGCTGTGTGCTTGCTCTTTGCACAAGGCCGGTCTTGCTTGAAGTTTCGCCCTCAGTTGCTGCTGTGCTGAGCCTCAGCCTCTCAGTGACCAATGTGGCAGTCTCACTCCCCTTCTTAACTGCATGTCCCCCACCAGAGTCTCCTCACCAGTCATTCAGACAAGCAGGTGTCACCATCCAGATCCCAGGCACTCTCCCCAGAGGGACTCAAGGGTTAGACACAGTCCCCTGGTGGCCTTATGTGATGAGCACCCTTCACTGTGCACGGTTCAGGAGCGGTGTCAGGCACAAGGCCCAGGAAGTTCTTTTCTCCCTTTGAGAAGGTACGGTTACCTCCTGGTCCCCTGTCCAGGCAATGCCAGGGTGCACCAACTTCCTGTGTTCCACTGGGAGACCCAGAGTGTACTGCAGGTGGGCAGCTTGTTAGAAAACAGAACCCTTCCCCAGGGTCTGTGCTGCGTAGAGGGACAAGGGCTGACTAGACACACATGGGCCCGGGTCCCACTGGGAGCAAGGCAGGACAGAGGGTGAAGACTCTGCCTCCTAGGGTTGCCTTGGGTGTGGGGACTTTGGGCCTTGAAAGACTGTGGCAACAGGGCCCACATGGTCCAAGTATTCCAAGAGAGTGTTGGTTTGCCCTAATTTCAAGTTAGGATTTCTTTGTTTGTTTGTTCTATATCAGGAATCGAACTCAGGACCTCACGTGTGCCAGAGAGGTGCCTGTGCTGCTGAGCTATATCCCTGGCTCAAGTTAGGCTTTTAAATCTTGGTCATTTACCATTTTTGTTCCACAATTATTTCCTTTCCTGTTGCTACTGGGCTTCAGAGAAAGTATGCAGAGGTTTGCATTGCAAGGCTCTGAAGTCTCCCTTCAGCACCTCCTCCTCCCCAGGTCCAGTCCTCCGTGGCTGTGGGCACACCTGACTACATCTCGCCCGAAATCCTGCAGGCCATGGAGGATGGCATGGGCAAGTACGGGCCTGAGTGCGACTGGTGGTCCCTGGGCGTCTGCATGTACGAGATGCTCTATGGGGAGACACCCTTCTACGCCGAGTCCCTTGTGGAGACCTACGGGAAGATCATGAACCACGAAGTAAGACATCACACCTCCCTGAGTGCCACGTTTTCCAAGGCCAGGGGAAAGGAGGAGCCCTGGCTGCAGCGGTGCTGCTTGCTGACCAGGAGGCCTGGGCATGAGATGACTTGCTGTTTGCTTGGTCAGGACATGTGGCAGTTGTGCGTGTGTTCTGTAGAGCAGCCTGCTGGGCCCGGGTTTGCCCTGAATACTGCAGAGTGCATGCTGACCATTGTGCTGGTGCACTTTCCCCGAAGCACGCCTTCGTGTTCTGTGCCACTCGAAAGAGTAAAGGTTCATCATGCAGTGTGGTAGTGAATTAGCTGTGAACAAAGCTGGAGAACCCTAATGGTTTTCTAGTTTGCATCTTGGAATTGAAGGATCCCAGCTTTGGTTTGCACATAGTTACCACGAAATATGAGAGCTGTTGTTTCCCGTGTCTCTGTCTCTTAGACTGCTCTTACTGCCTCCACTTCTGTGCTGTGTTTCCCCCTCACAGGAGCGATTCCAGTTTCCTTCCCATGTCACAGATGTCTCCGAAGAAGCCAAAGACCTCATTCAGAGGCTGATCTGCAGCAGAGAGCGCCGGCTAGGGCAGAATGGAATAGAAGACTTCAAAAAACATGCATTTTTTGAAGGTCTGAATTGGGACAATATACGAAACCTTGAAGCACCTTACATTCCAGACGTGAGCAGTCCCTCTGACACGTCCAACTTTGACGTGGATGATGACGTGCTGAGAAACACTGTAAGTGTCTCAAGTGCCAGGTCTCGGCAGTACCGGCCCGGGCTAGATGTCAGCAGGCAGCATTAGGCCAGAGACATGGCTCAGCTCCTCAGTAAGTGGCAGGATTGTGCCGCTTTGTGACAACGTGGCAGTTGTCTCTTGACAGTGTACTTTTACCCCACCCTTCTGCTTGGTCCTTACTGCCCCCTTTAAAAGATAGGTGATTCAGTTTGACTTTTGGAACTCATCGAAAAAATTTTTGCTTTTCATCACGCCTTTCGCCTTTTCAAGGTAGTGTCAATGTGTTATTGTGTTAGAGCTTTACCAAAGCCCTATCAACATAGAGACTTGAGAGAAGCCTATAATCCCAGCACTCTGGGAGGCTGAGGCAGAAGGACTGCTTGGGCAACTGAGCAAGACCCTGTCTCAGGAAAAAAGAGAAAGTGCTGGAGATAGAGCTTAGTGCTTGCTTAGCTTGTGTGAGGCCCAAGGTTTAATCTGAACTGCCAAGAAAAAATTTGTTTTGGCCTCATCAAACCCTTACATGTTGAGTTGGCTTGGCGGTGGAGAAACTGAGGTTTTAACCAAGTGAAAAAAAAAAGTTACTTCTTAATCAGGAGAACTTGTCATATTAGTATATTGCCACTTGCTGCACATGCTTTATCCTCTTGACCTCTTAAAATGATTGAACTTGACCTTGGGAAACTCCTAGTTGCTTTGGGTTCTCATTCAGAAGCTGAGGTCCTGGAGAGAACCTGCGGAACCCCTTCTACAGCTTTACAGGCAGTTGTCTGCTTAACTTAGCACTGGTTTAGATGCCTCCCATGCAGCATAAGAGCTGACTTCAGGCCCCACAGAACTAGCACCACAATGGACAGGCTCATTCTGGGACACTGGAGGAAGGCTCTACACCAGATTCCTCAGAAGAATGAATACCTGTAGTTTTTGTTTAAGTCCTCCACCTGGAAAACAGAGCTGTAATAAATTATTTCAAATAGCTGCCTTGAGTTCTAGAGCTCCTTGCCACCTGCGGCCTCTTTTGGGCCAAAGACCCGAGAGTCCCACGCATGCTTTTGTCCCCAGAGTGCTGCAGTTGCCGCGTTGTTTGGTCTGCACCGGGCGTGCTGAGTCGTGCTTTCGGGGCTTTGAACAGTTCAGCAGTCTAGGCCGATGCAAGCGGGCAGCACGGTCAGTGTGTTTGTCCTCCTGGCTGCATTATGCATTCCAGGGGCAGAGTTACAGAAACTTGCTGATGCCACACACTGCCTGCAGACACCACGTGGAGTGGACGTTCCTCGAGCTTGTTCTCTCCTCCCAGCACCCTCCTGACACACTGCGCTGGAACATACTCTCTTCTTGGGCGGCTGTTTGAATGTAGATTTCGTGTGTGTTGTTTTGTCTTTGCAGGAAATATTACCTCCTGGCTCTCACACGGGCTTCTCTGGATTGCACTTGCCTTTCATTGGCTTCACGTTTACAACAGAAAGGTACGTGTGCCTCTTCCTCCCAAGCAGAGCCTTCCCAGGAAATGGAGTCTGAGCGTGGCGGGCAGCGGAGACCTTGCTCGAGGGAGAATGCAAGAGCTTGTCTGTTACACATGTAGGCCTGATGCTGCAGGTCTGTGTCAAGGGCAGTCCTCCGAGGGGCAGTGTAGTGAATCTGGTCCTGTGCCTTGTAAGGGTGGTTCATCAGACTGCACATTCTGTGGCATTTCTGTGAGGTCATGGCAGACAGGAGAGTCCTCAGGCCTAGTGCTGTCACGGTCCTCCTAAGGTCTGCTCTAGACAGTGTCTTACCTGTTGGTGTGATGCCAACACATCTACTGGGCTGGCCATTGCATCCACCTGTAAGCCCAGCACTCTAGGAGGCTGAGGAAGGAGGGGCCCAAGTTTGAACCCAGCCATGGCAACTTTGCAAGGCTGTGTCTCTAAAGGAATGGTTGGAGTACAGCTCCGTGGGAGGGTCCGGCATCCATCCCTAGTAGTGGAAAAAAGAAAAAAGCACCACACACACAGCTACCATGGAAATCACACTCGGTACTGTGATAAACAGCCAGGTGACTTTTCACGCCAGCAGCAGCCTTGCAGGTGTGCACTGCACCTCTTGAGTGTGTCTTTTCTCTTGTGTCTGATTTCCTCTTGTGTTGTGTGAGTGAGCTGCAGTGTTTGCACAGCCATTTCTTAGAAACCCATCCCCATTCTTAAGCAACACAGGGCTATAACTTGGGCCTTGTGGTCTCTATTGTCCGTTTTTCTTTTCCTTTTACAACCGTCTGTTTGTAGTACTGAGGACTAAACCCAGAGCTTCACACGTGCTAGCCTAGCATTCTACCATCCGGCTGCATCCCCAGCCCTTCTTACTATGCTATTTTGAAACAAGGTCTTGTTAAATTGCCTATGCTGACCTTGAGCTTGTGATCCTTCTGCTTCAGCCCGTGTGCATCACCGAACCCCCTCCAGCCCTTTAAGCAGTGTAAATGCCATTCTAGGGTCTGTGTGGCATGAGAGGCTGTGGTGGACTGTGACCCGCGAGTCAGTGTTAGCAGGATTGTGACCGAGTTGGGGGACTGCAGCTATTCCCCTTCAGCTCAGCCCCACGCTGTCTTCCTTCAGAGCACCTGCTGGCTTTTGTAAGGACTGGAGCCCCAGCTGCGTATCCCTTCAGTGGGGCTAGAACACGTCCCAGGTGTAGTGCGAGCTCTCAGGTGTTAGGACTGCGTCCTTGGGCTGGGGATTTAGCTCAGCGGCATAAGCGCCTGCCTTGCAAGCAGGCAGTCGTGAGTTCGATCCCTGGTACCGATAAAAACGAAAAAGACTAAAAAAAAAAAAAAAAAAAAAAAAAGACTGCGTCCTTGTGGGCCTCATCGTAAATTTGTGTGGCTCAATTTAGGAAGGAAGCTGAGGCTAACAAGAAAGAAAATTGAAACAAGACAGATAACCCACCCCGTGCCCAAGGGAAAGCAGCAGAGTTGGCCTTGCAGCAGCATCTGGAGGCAGTGAGGGCCTTCAGGACAGGCTGCCTTCGCCCAAGCCAGCGGGGGTCTCTATGGGTGTAGGGGTGAGGCCTCACCAGAGAAAGCATCAGCTGGGCCCAGAGGCCCTTGACCTTCCCTCCCGGCACACCCCAGCTTCCTGAGTGCTTTTCACATTTGCAGGCTCTGGTTCCAGGCCTGCCTGCCAAGGTCCAGGTTGGCTGGGTGTATCCCGGCTCTCCTCCTAGGACAGACACCCCTGCAAAAACACTGGCTGAGCTGTGCTCTCTATTAGGTCCTGTACCTGCTGCATTTAGCAGGCTCAGTGGGGCACATCGAGGTTTTCCTGGGGTGCTGGGGATTTAGCTCAGCGGCATAAGTGCCTGCCTTGCAAGCAGACAGTCGTGAGTTCGATCCCCAGTACCGGTAAAAACGAAAAAGACAAAAAAAAAGAAAAGAAGGTTTTCCTGGCATCATGGCCTCCTAATGAGCTGAGCAGAGCTGCGTACACCTGCAGCAGTCTGGGACCTGAGGCCGTTTGGCCTTTGGCTTCTGTCTGGGCAGAGCTGGTGCTTGCACACACACTCACATTCATGCAAGGTGGCTGGGCCTCCCTCAGTGGCTCAGCCTACAGGGGCTATTTTATGTGCGGTCAGAGGAGCCTAGAGAATTGAGAGCTGTCTCAGGTGGCTCAGCCTATGAATGCCACCAGTAGAGGGCTCGAGGGACCTGTAGGCTCCAGCCCCCTGCCGAGAGCCTGCAGTCAGATGGCCTGTTCTCCCAGGCCACTAGGTGAAATGCTGGTGGGTGTTCAGTCAGGTGTGAGTGTGAGGTAGCAGGTGCATCCCCTCCTCGAGGGGGCAGAGAAAAGCTGGAGCTGAGCCTTCTCTCTACAAGCTGTGAGATGTGTCCATGTCAGGGCCAGGCCCAGCCAGTGCTCTGCAGCCTCTTGTCTTGCTCTGGCTCCATACACAGTGAAGTCTCTTCACAGGTATTCTGTTTGTTGCTTTAAAGAGACTCCATCCCCAGGAAGTCCTTAACTGCTTAACAAAATCATGGTCGGTTCTTGCTGGCCGAGCGCACCTGGTGCTTTTCCTTCACAGCTGTTTTTCGGACCGAGGCTCTCTGAAGAGCATGATGCAGTCAAACACACTCACCAAAGATGAAGACGTGCAGCGGGATTTGGAGAACAGCTTGCAAATCGAGGCCTATGAGAGGAGGATCCGCAGGCTGGAGCAAGAGAAGCTGGAGCTGAGCCGCAAGCTGCAGGGTGAGTGAAGGGGCAGCTGGCACAGGCCGTGGTGTGGCGCACATGCAGCTGTGCTCACGCCATGCCCCTCGTAGAGTCCACCCAGACGGTGCAGTCTCTCCATGGTTCCACAAGAGCCCTGGGCAACTCGAACCGGGACAGGGAGATTAAGAGGCTGAATGAAGAAATCGAGCGCTTGAAGAACAAGGTAGCAGGTGAGCCTTCTCTGTTCCCGAGAGGGTCTTTTTCTGTGTCCTTCCACAGCTGGAAAGCAGGAAAGGCCCACACTTTGGCACCTGCCCAGCGTTCACCCTGATCGGGTTATTCTCCGCCTTCTGTGACTGATAATTTTAGAGCTGCTGATCTCGATCAATTCCCTGTTGTTTTCTCCATGAACTCTTGCTTTTCCTTTGTGAGGCGCTGACAGCTCCCCAGACCCTCACATTCATGACTGGCCTCCTTTCTGTATCCTGGGACCTTCTACTGGTGGTTCCCAGACAAGAAAGCTTCAGGAACTCGGGACTTGGGTCCCTTCTGAACCACAAGCTTCCCCCCCCAGGCTGGTCCTGCCATCCACTTGAAGCTCCTGGTCACTGTACCTCCATTCTCTTCCCATTTCCCACCCGAGCCCACTGTCCTGATCCAGAGAAAGACACAGTTGAGTCTAGGTCTCCCTGCAGCCTTCTGAGAAAGGGCCAGGTCTCATTTCATGGGGACTGTGACACAGAGGCACGTGCTCCCAAGACCTCAAAGTCCCTGCGGAAAGAGTGATCAGAGTAAAGTCTGGGGACCTGCTCATTACAGGTAGCATGTATGTGCATGTGAGAAAGCAAAAGGCCTCTGCACAAGGAGTGTGTCCCAAGTTAGCAGATACCTTGCCACCAGACAGCTAACAGCAGGAGCCTGCATGCCAAGGAGCACGAGCACGATTTACTTCTCTCCTGCGCAGACTCGAATCGGCTTGAGCGGCAGCTGGAGGGCACCGTGACGCTGCGCCAGGAGCACGAGGACTCTGTGCACCGGCTAAAGGGCCTGGAGAAGCAGTATCGCCTGGCACGGCAGGAGAAGGAAGACTTCCACAAGGTGGGGGCACCCCACAGAGCCCTGTGCAGACCGCCCAAAGCCCCCAGGCAGCAATAGAGCATGTGCTCTCTGGAGGCTTCATGTGCACCCACTCTGCAGCCATTGTCTTCAGCCCGCACCCCACCCTGCAGAGCAGGCAGCATCTCCCATCCTGAGTAAGGGCCTGGTATAGAACATGTCAGGTTGTGCACAGTGAGCCAGAATCCTCCCCCACCCCATTACAGCCCTGCCCTGCCACCGGCCCCTTCTCTCACAAGGGCCTCCTTGGTTATGACTGGTAGCTCTGAAGTGGTGGTGTTGAAATGGGGGCATCCCCAATGACACCTTTTCCAACTTGACTTGCGAGGTGTGCAGTGCCAGTACCTTGATACCACAACCTGGACCATGTTTTCTGAAGCACATCCCTTCCTTTAAACAAGGCTCCTTGTACATCTGAGTCCTGGAGTATGGAGTTCGTTACTAGTTCTCTCAAATGTCCAGCCTGAGTTACCAAAGTCATGTGCAATGCCATCCCACCTGTGGCATGCCCAGGTGCAGTGGGCATGTGATCTCTCCTTGCTGCCATGCAGCTACAGTAATTCCCCTGAAGCAAGTGCAGAGCAGCCTGGTGGAGGCCCTGCCCTCCCTGTTTTGGGAGCTGCTGTGCTCCAGTCCGTGTCACCTTATGTCACACAAGTGGCATGACAGCCACCAAACAGGCAGATTGTTGACTGACTGCAGGCACTGATCAGCCAGATGGCAGATGAGCCACTGGGAGATATAAATGTAGCCATACAGTTAGCATCTGTTCCTCAGTTGTCATGGCGGGTACTTAGATTAAGCATGTGCATAGTCATGGGGTGCGTAGTGACGTTTGGATTGATGACAGGCTGTGTAGACGGGTGGTTCCGTGAGAGTGCATTACCTGTTGACAGCAGAGCCCTCTCAGTTTATGTGAGGGCCCCCTGTGATCGCACCACAGACGCCTAAAGGTTTTTCAGCATTGGTTCAGTCAGTAAGATGCGAGGCTGCGTGCACGTTCTCTCCTGGGTCTGCTCAAGGCTAGTAACAAGATTGTTGCCCAGATCCCTGCTCTGTATCTCTGTGATTGCATAGATGAGTTTTGAAGCCACAGGTTATGTGCGTGGCTGCACCGCCCTGCGGTGCTGGTCCTTGCTGTGTGGAACTGGTGTTCTGTTCCAGAGCCCGGCTGGCTCCGTCCGGCTGCTTGTATGGTGGAGGGTGGGGCCAGAGCTTTGCCAGGAAGCAGATTCTGGGCGCTCTGGCTACAGCCTGTGACAGCATTTGCCATCGCTTTGAAATCTGCACATAGCAGAGGATTGAACTGCTATCTCTCCACATCTGTACTAAGTGCACGTAAAACATTTGTAATTCTTTTTGTTCAGCAATTGCTTGAAGTCTCAGAGCGATTAAAATCCCAGACCAAAGAACTGAAAGATGCTCATCAGCAGCGGAAGAGGGCCCTGCAGGAGTTTTCGGAGCTCAACGAGCGCATGGCAGAGCTCCGCTCCCAGAAGCAGAAGGTGTCAAGGCAGCTGCGGGACAAAGAGGAGGAGATGGAGGTGGCCATGCAGAAGATTGACGCCATGCGGCAGGACATGCGCAAATCCGAGAAGCTCAGGAAAGAGGTAACTGTATTTGGGTGTAATCTCTCTTTTTTTTTTTTTCTGTGCTGGGGTCAGAACCCATGGCCTTGCCTGTGCTAAGGAACCCTCTTATCATTGAGCTACATCCCCAGCTTGTGTCTGTCTTGTTATAGAGCTAAGGTTAATTTTTCTTCCTTTAAACAATGTTCATGTCGTTCTGTGATGTGGCTCCAGTGCATGCGTGACCTGTGGCCCACCTAGGGTAGGGGGATGTAGGGACAGGTCAGCCACATGTGTCCTTCCAAGTCAGTTGCCTGCAGTTGCAGTTCTGAAATTCTGGTCTCAATGCTTCTTTACACTCTTGAGGGTCGTTAAGGTCCCAAAGGGATGTTAGAAGGATGGAAGCCTTTTCCATGTGCCGGTAATTCCCCTGAGCCAAGCCCAGAACAACCTGGTGGATGTCCTGCCACCAGTACGGCAGATCTTTTCATTACGGCACATCTGATACCTGTTAATACAGATATTTTTAATGAAAAGAGGCATTTTTAAATGTTGCACCTTTCTTTACCATCCGTGTCTTGTCCAGAGTCAGACATGCTGTGTGGGCAAGGTGCACAGAGCAAACAGGACCCGCCGGAGAAGGCGTGCCCTGGGCACCTGGGGTGGGGGGTGTTGCCCGCAGGTGACTTAGGTGGTCCTAACTCCTCAGTCACGCTTTCCCCAGCTGGAAGCTCAGCTTGAAGATGCTGTTGCTGAGGCCTCGAAGGAGCGCAAGCTGCGTGAGCACAGTGAGAGCTTCTGTAAGCAGATGGAGAGTGAACTCGAGGCCTTCAAGGTAGCACATGATTCCCATCTGCCAAGACATACTGAGAGTCGGGGTGGGCAGTTGCAGCCTCTGCCTGGGTGGTCCTCACGTGCAGCCAACTTCTGTCTTTCCCTCACGGAGTGGAGTTCTGAGCAGTGCGAAGTGAGCCAAGGGGAACTCAGCTCAGATACGTTCTTCCTGTGCTAATTTCGTCAGCTTGGCCAGGTCCATTTCTGGAAAAGCTCCCTATAGCCCATAGCCTGCTGGTGGCGGGGACAGACTGGTCATCCAGCTAGGATCAGGTGGTGGGGCAGGAGGCTGCGGAGGGCAGAGAGGGGAGGCCCAGCCCTGCTTGTCAGCGTGGTGCGGCTCAAGACAGCCCTTCCCTCTTGTGAGCCTGGGCTTCCCACGGTGGCTCTCCGTGCCGCACACAGGCCTGAAGCCCGTCTTCCTTTCTGTCATCCGTGCTGCCACTGCTCCAGCTCCGCTACCTTGGTTTGCTTTCTTTGCATGTCTGCACACTGCAGCTGCGGGGAACTTGTTGGACACTTGGAACGTGTCCCTCTGAGCCATTGCCCTCAGCAGTGTCCTGCAGCTGCGTGCCCAGCTGCCCAGGGCTGTCGCAGCTCATCACTTCTCTCCCCATCTTGTTTCCTGTGCTTCCTTCCTGTCTTGGTGTCTGAGTTGCCCCTCACCTGACACCAGCTTCCTCTGTCACCGTCCCACAGATGCCTTCCTAATCACCCTCTGGGCCCCTGCCCCGTCCCTCCACCTCGTGTGAGCATGTTGGTGCTTAGTGACTGCTTTGCCGTCTGTCCCTGCCCATGAGCGCAGAGCCCTTCCTGTCACCTGTCACCAGGGCATGCTCACACAGTCAGCCCGCAAAAGATGCTTGGGGGAAACAAACCAACAAGGAAGGTCCGGCTAGGGGCAAAGAGCCCAAGAGGCCAAGGCAGAGCGGGCCATTTGTGCCTCAGTGCACCCGCTGTCAGGTCACCTGCACCACTGGACCGTCTGGCTCACCGCTGCCACTGTGAGCCCTCCGAGGGAGGGCACAGACCTCCCATCTTACCTCCACTTCTGCCTGCAGATGAAGCAAGGAGGCCGGGGGCCGGGGGCTGCCTTGGAGCACCAGCAGGAGATCTCCAAAATCAAGTCGGAGCTCGAGAAGAAAGTCCTGTTCTATGAGGAGGAGTTGGTCCGACGTGAGGCCTCCCACGTCCTGGAAGTGAAAAACGTGAAAAAGGAGGTGCACGACTCAGAAAGCCACCAGTTGGCCCTGCAGAAAGAAATCTTAATGTTGAAAGATAAACTGGAAAAATCGAAACGAGAACGGTAAGCTCCCCGAGCTGCACGTGGCCGAAGCGGAAGCTCATTTCCAGGCCACGGCGTGGGCAGGAGCGAGGCTGGAGCTCTGCAACAAGTCCCTGTCCCCTCGCGGCAGGCACAGCGAGCTGGAGGAGGCCATCGGCACTGTGAAGGATAAGTACGAACGGGAGAGAGCCCTACTGTTTGACGAAAACAAGAAACTGACTGCAGAAAACGAAAAGGTGATGAGGGAAATCTGAGCAAGCACTGTATGTGGAAGTTACGATTTTTCATTCTTAAGTCTTTTGGAGTTTTAGTGTCTATTTCAAGTGTTTTAGATTTTAAATAAAGTGATGTGTTTTTGTGGGTTTTTTTTTAACTGAGTTTTCACTCAGTTAAAAGGTGTGTTACTTGAAATCACCAGCACTGTCACTTTTTGAGTTAGGTTTGAATTGAAACCTTAATTAGCTATAAGCAGAAAATCTCTACCCTGAACTTAGTCTGGGGAAAAACCCCAGTGACTAAAGAAAACGTCCAAAATCTCCAGGAGAACGTCAAGCTTGGGTAATGCTGCCGTGGTTAAAGGGTGCTGATTAACGGGCGCCGTGGTGGGGCTGTTTAATTTCAGCTTTGTTCCTTTGTGGATAAACTCACGGCCCAGAACAGACAGCTGGAGGACGAGCTGCAGGATCTGGCAGCCAAGAAGGAGTCCGTGGCACACTGGGAAGCTCAGATCGCAGAGATCATCCAGTGGTACGCCAGCCCCACGCCGCCTCTGCTGCACTGCCCACTGCCGTGGCCCCACCCCAGCCTCGATCTTGTCTGCCCTGAGCCCCAAGGGCTGGTCAGCAGCTCTTTCCATTATCATCACAGACCTGGGCTGGGAAGACACTCCTGTCCTAGTCCCTTTCTCGTCACTGATACACAATATCAACACCTGCAATTTAAGAGAGAACAGGTTGATTTTGGCTTATGTTCTAGTGCAGTCAGTTGCCTCCAACTCAGGATGGCATGGGTAGAGCTGCCCGCAGCGGGGTGGGACAGAAGCCAAGTGCAAAGTGGGGAGCAGGGAAGGAGAGAAATCTTCCCGGCCAGGTCCCATCCCCTAACGTCAAGCCAGCTCTGAGCCCATGATCAGGCCCTTCGGGGACCTCTCCATGGGAGCCCTAACGACGACCAGCTCGCCTTGGCCAAGTACTGTGCACACCGAGGGCAGCAGGCGGGACTCCTCCCAGAGACCATCCAGTCACGTGACTGTGGAGCTTGGGGGGAGCTCAGCACGGTGCCAGCCACCGCAAAGCCTTGCTGCTCTGGCTGGGCAGGCCGTGTGCCCAAGTGCTCATCCCAGGTGGCTCCTTGAACAGGTGCTGTGCCTCCTGAGCTGGGGATCTCTCTCTTCCCAGGGTCAGTGATGAGAAAGATGCCCGTGGCTATCTCCAAGCACTCGCTTCCAAGATGACCGAGGAGCTCGAGACTTTGAGGAGTTCCAGTCTGGGCTCAAGAACGCTGGTAAGCTTGTCCAGCAGTCTGCATTTTCACTACTAAAATGTGCGATCATGGTTTTCTCTTAAGTACAGATGTGGTGCATTAGGTGCTGGGGCCATTCCAAGGCAAGGGGAGACTTGCGTGCAATTAGGGAACTGTGACCAGGCGCAGTCAGCTCAGGATTCACTGGGACTTTTCCCCAAGTGCCTGGGTGGGCACTGCCATCTGCCCGTCATCGGCTTCTGATGGACACGTGAAATGTTGTCCTGGTCAGCTTTCCTTACATGACGGTGGAAAGTGAAAATCCCTCACCTGTGTCCAAGGAGGCTTACAGCGCAGTACACAAAACAGTGTTTCTAGACTTCGCCGCCTCTCCAGAGCTGTGGCCAGGGTATGGCTCAGGGAGGAAGGGACTCTTCCTGTCCCCTCGCTTCCATTGTTCCTCACAGGTGCACAGGATTAAGACTCCACAGCTAGGACAGGGAGCCTTGGGGTACCTGGGACACCACAGAAGTCGCCCTGTGGAGTCAGTTTTAGTCTGATTTTTAAAAATTCTAGGAATGAAAGTTAGAAAACTTCAAAATGGTAGTCAGGTCTGATGGCCATAACAGGAAAGGTTTCAGATCGGAAGTGAAGAGTGGCGTGTCTAAGAAGCACACAGCCTGAGTGTCTGTTCTGCCCCCTCACCCAGGACCCACTGTGGAAGGTGCGCCGCAGCCAGAAGCTGGACATGTCCGCACGGCTGGAGCTGCAGTCCGCGCTGGAGGCCGAGATCCGAGCCAAGCAGCTGGTGCAGGAGGAGCTGAGGAAGGTCAAAGATGCCAGTCTCGCCTTTGAAAGGTGCCGGGGCCCACCCCAAGCTGCCCAACCTAGTCCTGCCCAGAGACAGGCAAGCTTGCTGCTCCACAGCACACGTAGTATAGGGAGTTGGGCTGGGCAGGAGGGTTCTGAGGGGTGCACAGGAGAGTCTCGGGCGCCTTCCTACAGGGGTGTGTATGCCCTTGGGAAGCAGCCAGGTGGTCCGGTATCCAGGGGTCAGTTGCTCTTGCCTTGTGTGCCTGGTAGTACTGGCGACAAGATGCACATCCACACATCTGACAGTGCCTCTGGCTATGAAGTTTGCCAGCTCAGTTTTCCTTTCCAAACTAAAGGCAGTGTGTTAGAGACTAAAGGTGTTGCAGGGTTTGAAGTCTCCCATCAGCAGGAAGCAGTGGAAAGAACCACACATTGAGTCTGTGGGCCCCTGCACGCCAGTGCTGCTGCTGTGGAGTGACCAGCCCCTCTGCCTTGGGTGACGGGTCTCTGATGAGACTGTGTCCCCAGATTTACCACATTCTGGCAGAAAGCTTCACTGCCACTGTGTACCCAGAATTGCTCTTGCAGAGTTTGTTCCATTGGCTCACACATCCTGCAGAGCAGACACTCCTATTATGGGGATAGGACATGGAGACCAAGGCACAGGAGCACAGGGATGAAGTAATTTGTCTCCCCACTAATGAGTGGCTGAGCAGCATCTCCCCTGCTCACCCCCGGCCACTGTTACCTGTGGCAGCTTGGCGCTCTCCGTCCCTCCACCAGTTGGTGAACTCGAAGGGCTTGTGCTTGGGCGGTGGCCTGACAGCTATGAGATCTGGGCCATGCATCCCTGGAGGACAAAGACAAACTGGAATATCAGGGGCTGGGGATTTAGCTCAGCAGCATAAGTGCCTGCCTTGCAAGTATGTGGTCGTGAGTTCAATCCCTGGTACCGATAAAAAAAAGAAAAAGAAAAAAAAAAAAAAAAAAAAAAGAAAGAAATTCACTCCAGGCCTCCTCACACGCGCCCCCCTGAGCAGCCACTGTGGCTCCTGTATTTGTGTCATCCGGAAGCTTTGGCACGGTCCAAAGAAGCAGCCAGCGTGAAAGGGCCTTGCTCCTCCCCGCCTCGTCCTGGCATCTTCTCAGCGCACTTAGAGCTGTCTGCCTTTCATTCTAGTAAACTGAAGGATTCTGAAGCCAAAAACAGAGAATTATTAGAAGAAATGGAAATTCTGAAGAAAAAGATGGAAGAAAAGTTTAGAGCAGAGACTGGTAAGCTGAAATCATAAGGTTGTGTGTCATTTAAAATTCAGCCTTTTTAAGGGGGTGACTGTTTCTTTTGCTTTCTTGTTAATAGTCTTAATGGTACATGAAGTAGCTGCATAGCATCAGTCTTATTTGGGAAGCGGGACATTCAGTGGTATCTGACCCCACCGTTTGGTTGCTTCTTCCTTTATTTCGTTTCGAAAGCAAAGCAAACGCATCTGTGTGTAGTGATGTGCTTGTGTCCCTGCCACACAGAAGGTGGTGGCGAGCTGTCCCCAGATGCTGCTTCAGCTCCTCTAAAGCCGCAGGATGCCTGCTGGGGGGCACACAGCCTGAGGACAGGTGCTGGGCTCTTCCGGCTGACCCGTCAGAGAAAACACGCAGTGAGCGGCTTGTCCTTTTCCTGTCCTTGTCCCTGTGTGTGGGGACAGATTTCTAGAAGGGGGCCACCAGGTCAAAGGGCGGGTATGCTCATGTATCACAGGGGTGCCTGCTCAGACCCCCACATAGTGCAGGCGTCACATATGGGGGGTTGCTGTCCTGATCAGGCGAGAGACGGCATCTTAGTATAATATGCATTCTTTTGCTCATTGTTTTTTTTTGTTTGTTTGTTTTGGTACCGGGGATCGAGCGCATGACCATGTGCTTTCAAGGCAGGCACTTATGCCACTGAGCTAAATCCCCAGCCCTTTTGCTCATTTTTAAAAATCCAACCTCTTCATTGTCTTAAGTTTTAGAAGCTTTTTATGTGTTGCAATTAAAACCTTTTTGTAACATTGACTTCTTACTGAAGTTGGGTTTTTGTCAAGAAAAAGGTTTGTTTGGTTAGTTAGTTAGCTCTTTTTTTTGGTCTTTTTTGAGACGAGGTCTCGCTATGCAGTTCAGACTGGGTTTGAGCTCACTTTGTAGCCTAGGCTGGTCAAAAGGATCCTCCCACCTCAGCCCTCTTGAGTGCTGGGATTACAGGCGTGAGCCACCACGCCTGGCAGTTGGTTAGCTCTTGCAGTACTAGAGATTGAACCCACTACTGTGGCACTAAGCTACATCTTTGATTATTTTTTTTCCTGAAACAGAATCTTGCTAAGTTGCCCAGGCTAGGCTCAAACTTGTGCTTTTCCTGCCTCAGCCTCCCAGAGAGCTAGGATTACAGCTGTGTGCTAATACACCTAACTGCTCTTTAAAATTTTCGCCTGTCAAATTTATCAGACTTGTATCTCTTTGAGTCATAACTAGGAAAATAATCCTTGACCTCCAGCCATTCAAGGGATTACACATTTTCTCTGAATATTTGGAGGGTTTCACATTTTCCTGCAGGAAGACAGGGTCTTGCCATGTTGCCCAGGCAGGTATCAGACTTCTGATCCTCCTGTCTTGGCCTCCTGGTAGCAGGAATTCAAATGTGTGCCACCTCACTGGCCTGTTTAAAATTTTGTTTTTAAAGCAAAACAAAAAAGGATAGAAATGATAAAGAATTTCAAAAAAAAAAATGGTAGGAAATTACTAGTAGTTAATATATTGCATGTTGTTATCTTAGAAGTAGTTACACAGGTTGTAAGAAGTTGGCATAAAAATGATGCAAGAAACAGTAGCAGCACGAACTGTTCTTGGTGAACTAACGGAGAGCAGGAGCATAGTTATCTGTCTTGTCTATAGATATGCATCTTGACTTCAGTTGACCAGTCCATTGGAATACACTCACAGACTGTCTGAGCAGTGTCCTTGCTGCTCTCAGAGTGACCTTGGTCACCGGCAAGGTCACTGGCTGCTGGGTGTCTCTGGGGCCCTGCCCTGTCCGTGTTCAGTGCCTGGGTCGTGACCACTGGTAGCCTTTCTCCTGCTGCCTGCATCAGCTCCTGGCTGGGGTTTCCCAGGGAGACCAGGTTTATCCAGGAGGACCTCGGCTCCTCGGCTTGCTGCGGGGAGGGCCCTGTGGTGTCTACACTGAGTGCTCCACATGTGTGTCGGCAGCTCGCATGGAGCTATCCCGATGGAGACGATAGATATTGAGGATTCTTACTTAAAGATAAGGTCTGTCTTTTAAATGTTATGCTGTGACTGTTCTTTCTTGTAGGTCTCAAACTTCCAGATTTTCAGGACTCCATCTTTGAGTACTTCAACGCCACACCTCTTGCACATGATCTGACTTTCAGAGTGAGTAATTACTTTTTAAAGGTGACAAAAGGATTCATGACAAGTTAGAGTAGAATGTGATGTGCTGGGGCTGCAAAGATGCCAGCTACTGAAGTGACCGGGATTTCACCCCAAGAAGCTGGGGACGCTGAGGGATTGGGCGGTTCCCATAAACACCTTGTCACTCAGATAGTGCCAGGGGGTGCGCAGGGTGGAAACCACAGTGGCGTCAGGCTGTGTAGGAGTGAGCATTTGGGGTAACTTTATAAATAAAAATTCTCAGGCTGGAGATTTAGCTCAACAGCATAAGCACCTGTCTGGCAAGCCCAAGGTCATGAGTTTGATCCCCAATACAAAAAAAAAAAAAAAAAAAAAAAAAAATCTCATAATAATAACAACCAGTCATGGGTTCACATTTCTGTGACTTCCATGTGTCGAGATAGCTGGGTCTCTGTGACTGGTAGAAGGGAGATTGGTCAGAACGATCTGGTGCCCAGCAGCTTCCCCAGACCACACCCAGTGACCTGGAGCCCCCAAGTAGTTGCTGCCTGTCTCATGGTGGGGCCAAGTCCCTTCGGACTGTGACCCCGAAATACCTGAGTGACTGCCACAGGTGAGGACATGCTCCTGTGTGCTGCAGAGTCTGCACTGTCCGTGATGCTCAGCCCCCGTCCTCTGCAGTCTCCCCCACTATCCCAGCAGTGTCCTTGATGGCTAGGTCTCCCCAGGGCAAGAGCCACCGATGCCATGGGCCACAGTGAGCCGTCAGGTTTCCCTCTTCTCTTTCTGTGACCCTGCACTGGATTCGTCCACTCAAGCAGGGTGGACATGGCGCAGCTTCCACATAGTAGATGCCACGCTCTCTGCACTGCCTCTCATTGTCAGCCTGATGCTGTCCCTCAGGAGCCTTCCCCAGTCATGCCAGGCACTTGGTACCTGGCAGCCAGCTTGTCCGCATCAAACCAGCAGTCCTGTCTTGCCCTGAGGTCCTCGGACCTCAGGAAGCACTGTGTTTAATGGATCTCTGTGCACTGGGCTTCTGACAAACCTGGTGCTGTGCCAGTTGGTCGTGCCCTTCTCTGGTCCTTGCGGTGCCAGGCTCCATCATTGAGAGGAAGCAGTAACACCGGGTATGGGGTACATGGCTGTAATCCCAGCATGCTTGAGAGCCAAGGCAGGAGAGTTGTGTATTCAAGGCTAGCCTTGGCATTTTAGTGCTTAGTGGGATCCTGTCTCAAAATAAAGGACTCGGGATGCAGCTCATGCAGACCCCAGCACTCACTGATAAAAGCAGTCCCCAAGTACCAAAGGCTGGCTGTTGGCAGCTTGGAGGTGGCAGGGAAAGCAGTGGCTTCTCTGTAAAGTGAACACAGCGCAGAGCTCAGTGGTGAGGGCTGTGTGCCAGTAGCCATCGGTGAGGGAGTCACAGCCATGGCACCATCCTCAGCCCCTTCTGCTGTGACCTGGTGGGGGCAGGCTTCCTGCAGAGGCTGGATCTGGCTCTGAGCTCGCCCTCCAGCCTGTGCTGCAAGTGGGAGGGCAGCAGTGTGCACTGTGGGAAAGACCACGTGGCTCCTCCTGTCTGTCACACATCGTGACTGCGGCTGCTGCTGACAGCACCCTAAATGTTTCTCTTCCCTAGTTTGTGTCTGTCTGATTAATTACCCAGCCCCGTGTGGGGTCTTACATGGCTAAAATTAAATTACTCAATAGCCTGCTCCTCATTTACTAGCTTGGGCTCCGACTCACTTGGCGTCCCTGGTTTGTGGGAGTTCGTGCTTGCTGCTCGGTGACAGTCAGCTGACTGAGGCCGCCTTTCCCTCCTGAGTCTGGGGGCATGGTTCTGTGTGTCATGTGCGCCGTGCTGCTGCCCGCTGACTGTTGCTGTGGGAAGGTGCCCCCACATTGGACCAGGGCTGCTGGGGCTTGTGCGGAGCCAAGTCCAGCTGCAGGCTTACCCTGCAGGAATGCTACTTCCTGTGCTGACCCTTCCAAGGCTGACCCTGCCATGCCCTCCGTGTGGTGGTAAGGACTGTGTGAACAGGGACAGCCTTTGATGAGTAGCAGGGCAGCCTTGAAAATGTGGCCTTCGCTTCAGGTAGATGATGTGTTCTTAAGACTGACCCTGGCTTCCAGGGAGTGCCTGGGCACTTGAGGTCCCCAAAATGTAAATAAGAAGCACTTGGGTTGTTGGTGTGAAGGCTGAGATCGAGGTACAGTAACTTACGAGTAGGTCAGGTGGTTGACATTTCCATTTGACATGGCTGGGGGAGAGGAAGTGGCAGTTGGGAAGGACCTCATGCCTAAGGCAGCCAGACAGCCTGTCACCAGCATCACAGCCTTGACTGCCACAAGCAGTGGCCCTGATGGGGCAGGGAGGACAGCTGAGACTGGGGTGCCCGGGACACAGGATGAGAAGTGCTGGACCCCAGCCCCGCTGGAGCATGCTTTTCAGATGAAGAACATTGTCTTTATCTTCTTTTCAAGGCCAGCTCATCCAGTGACCAAGAATCACAAGCCCTAAAGCCAGAAGTGTCCCCATCAGTTTCTGTGGCTGCTGGCACAGAGCAGCAGGAGGTGAGAGCATGTTGCCCTGTGGTGCTCCCAGGGCCCTTGGTCCACCCATGCCCATGTGTCACAGGTGCCATTAGTCACACCAGGCCCAGCCTACATGGTCCCTGCCTTGCCGCTGTGGCAGGAGCCCCTCTGGGCTCTAGGTTCACCTTCTGTTCTCAGGTCCTGTTAGCAGCCAGCTGGATGAGCTAGACTATCACTGATGAATATGCCCTAAAGAGGCACCAGCCCCAGGCAGGGCCAGCAGCCACCAGCAGTGGTAAGCAAGCAGTGCTGACTTTCCCCTTTCTCCCAGGACATGGCTCGGCCCCCACAGAGGCCTCCCACTGTGCCGCTGCCCACCACCCAGACCCTTGCCCTGGCCGGGCCAAAGGTAGGCTTGACTCATGGCCCGGGTACCGTCTCGAGTAAATAAAGCAAGCATGCTGTCTTGTGTGCACATGGTGAGGTCCTCCATGTGCACTGTCCCCTCCTTGGTCATGCTCTTGCCTCCATGGCAGCCTCACCCATATCGCGTCCCTTCTGCCAATGCCTTCCCACCTGCCTGTGCTTGGAGAGCCCTGTGGTTTGTGGGTGAGAGTTTTGCTGAAGGTACAGTTGGAACCTTGGCTTTTCTGTAAGTGTATCCAGAGCTTTGTGCCTCAGTGCCTGGCTCTGCCTTGTTCTTTGTTCTAACCTTGGGGTCCTGCAGGTCAGTCCCCTTTCTCATATAATCATCACTACAGATTGAAAGTTGCTGTTGTGTTCAGGCCCAGCACATGTTCACCTGGGTACCTGGGACCTCTTCCACTCTGTGTGCTGACTGTAGGCCTGGCCTCTGGCTTCAGCTGGAGATAGAGAGCTCCGTCCTGTTTGGCTGCAATTACAGTTTGGCTTTCAGGCTCAGGTTCTCACAGAGACAGGGACCAAGGTCAGGTAAACCTGCCTCCTCGGAAGCAGTTCCTTAAAGGTGTCAACACACCCGGAGGGCTTGGCCACCACTGCCACCTCCCCCTCCCTGGGTGCAGATCATACGTGGTCTCACCTACGGCTGTGTCAGGGCTGTTGGAAGTACTCTCCCGTGCCCAGGGCACCCTGCCCCTTCAGCCAGCCTCACGCTCCCCACTTAGCAGAGACAGCACAGTCCACTTTTCAAGGTGGCTCTGCTTACAGGCATCGGCCCGCTCTGGGTGCCTGACGTGCTGTCTCGCTGTTCTCTGCAGCCGAAAGCTCACCAGTTCAGCATCAAGTCCTTCTCCAGCCCCACCCAGTGCAGCCACTGCACCTCCCTGATGGTTGGGCTGATCCGGCAGGGCTACGCCTGCGAGGGTGAGTGCTGCCCTGCCAGGGTCAGAGAGTGTGGCCTTGCTCTCCTGCTCAGGGCCAGCCACGGGGCAGTCCTTACTGAGTGGGGGCTTGGGGTGTCTGGTCATCTGCTGAGAACAAGAGGTGCAGCATCTGGAAAGTCAGGAAAGATGGAAGACATAGGACCGTGAAGTCTTCTACTTTGAAGATTGTCTGCCCGGGCTGAGGTGCCTGTAAAAAGGCCTGCCTCCTCGGAAGCAGCTCCCTAAAGGTGTCGACACACCCGGAGAGCTTGGCCACCTGCCCCTCCCTGGGTGCAGATCACACGTGGTCTTGCCCATGGCTATGTCTTCCTGAGCAAGAGGGCCTTCTGTGGCCGTGAGCTACAGGCCTAGCTCAGCGGTGCAAGTACCTGCCTGGCAAGTGCGAAGTCATGAATTCCATCCCCGGTACCAAAGGAAAAAAAAAAGATCGTCTGGAAACTAGGAATTGTTTTGTATTTTTGCTGCTGGTCAGTACATTTTAAAGTTTTTGCCTTATGTTCTTTACCTTGCTGGGACTTGGTGACGCTGCTATGGCACTTGCTGAGCCCATTTGATGTCACTCTAACCTCTTGTTTATAGAGGCCTGCAGCCACTGTGTGGCAGTGTGTGACAGTCTGGGCCTGTCCCCGCATTGCCACCCTGACCGTGGCTCTGCACAAACAGCTCTCACGCTCTCCTTCACAGAGCGTTTTCTTTTGCTGTCTTAACTTCTATGCCCGTTGCTTCACTGCTGGGACCCTGGGTGTCCCCATCCCCACTGCCCGGGAACTGATGTCAGTGTGGCAGTGAGGCCTGTTTGGACAGCAGCAGAACAGAGGCAGCAGTGCAGCCTGTCCTTGAAGGGCCTGGTGCACGTGGCAAGCTTGTATTGCCCGAGTGGGACACGTGGCCTTCCCTGGTGGAGTGTGGCTGGCAGCACCTGCTCTGCAGTGGGGCTGTGAGAGGCTCTTCCTCTTTTCCAGTGTGCTCGTTCGCCTGCCACGTGTCCTGCAAAGACAGCGCCCCCCAGGTGTGCCCCATACCCCCCGAGCAGTCCAAGAGGCCCCTCGGCGTGGATGTGCAGAGAGGCATAGGAACAGCCTACAAAGGCTACGTCAAGGTAGGGGCAGAGCCCACAGTGTCTCTGGGATGCAGTGACCAGCAGCCACCTGCTGTGGTGTGAAGTGGCCGGTCCCAGGCAGCATAGGACAGCTGCTGCTTCAAAACCATGAGGTTCACCTGGGGCCAGATCCCCCGACCAGTGGAGTGGGGACTCCAAAGCTAGGGACACTGTAACGCTGGGCCCGGTCTGTCTCCCAGGATACCCGTGTATGTGCAGTGGGGGGCCGTCTGCTTGGTGCTCAGGGGCAGGGCCCCTCCCCGCTAGGGCCCTCATGGGTTCCGTCAGCCTCAGCCACTGGCCTGGGGAGCCAGGATGGTCCCAGGCAGGGGAAAGCATGGAATATGGTCACTGTTCACCTGTAGGTCCCCAAGCCCACCGGGGTGAAGAAAGGGTGGCAGAGGGCCTATGCCGTGGTCTGCGACTGCAAACTCTTTCTGTATGACCTGCCCGAGGGGAAATCCACCCAGCCCGGCGTCGTGGCCAGCCAAGTCTTGGACCTCAGGTCTGTTCCACACAGCACCGTCCTGTTCTGTGAATCAGGTTCCACTCACTTGTCTTCAGTCAGAGTTTGTTGGGTAATCAAGAATGTCATTTACATCTTTGTCTGTTGGAGTACTGCACTAGTTCAAAAATAAGCAAAGGGCCAGGCATGGTGGTGCATGCCTGTCATCCTAACACTCAGGAGGCTGAGACAAGAGGATCTCTGTGAGTTTGTAGTCTGGACTACAGTGTGAGTTCAAGAACTGTTGGAACTCATAGTGAAACCCTGTCTCAAAAAGAAAAGAGAAGAGAAGAGAAGAGAATAAAGGGTTAGCGTTAACTTGAAAGTATAGAGTGTACTGTTCTTTTTTTTTTTTTTTTTTTCCCTGTACCAGGAATCCAATTCATGGCCTTGTGCTTGCCAGGTGGGCCTTGCGCTGCTGATCTATGCCCCTGATCTGACAGTGTTATTGCTTTAGATACTTTTGTATTGAAAATTTTGCCAGATTGGCATTTCACATAAAACTGTTTGCCCAAAAACAAGCAAAATGTCTCAGAAAAGTTCATCTTACAGTAGTCTGTCCCTTTTTTTTTTTTTTTTTTGCGACAGGGCTAAGTCATTAAGCTCCCACAGCTGGGCTCAAACTTGTGGTCCTCCTGCCTCAGCCTCCCATAGTGCTGGGGTCACAGACATGCCACCAAGCCCATCATTGTGCCTTCTGGGAGCTGCAGCGGGCCTTCCTGAAGAGCTCGGGCCTTGTGCTGTGTGATGCTGCCACCCTGGCACCTGATGCTCACAGCGAGCCATCCTTTCCCCTCCTCTCCCTGTTCACACCCGGCTATCTGCAAGCTGGGCACAAGGGTTCCGTTAGCACACAGCCCCTGGCTCCAGTGTTACTTCTTGGGGCCCATGCCCAAGGACGGCCATAGGGTAGAAGGTCAGGATCGGCCATGTCCCAGCATGCAGACGCCTCGGTGCTGGCCTCCAGGGCAGAGCTCACGTCCTCAGCCTGCTGCCGACGGCAACAGGGCTCAGCCAGAGACTGCCTGGTTGTGTCAAGGCAGCAGCTTGGGATGGTGGCTCAGGACAGGGTCGGTGCTAGCTTCCCCGGCCTCCTGTTGCTGCTGAACCCCTTCAGTGGGCTCAGTCTGTGTGAGTGGTTCCGGTCCAGTAGTTGGTACCAGGCAGTAGCTGGTGCCAGGCCCTTGGAGGAATATTGGAGGATGCATGGGACAGCTCCGTGGGTCCCTCTCAGTCTCTGAGTGTGTCTCTCTTCCCAGGGATGAAGAGTTCTCGGTGAGCTCAGTGCTGGCCTCTGATGTGATCCATGCCACACGCCGGGACATCCCATGCATATTCAGGGTAGGAGTTGTTCTCATCTTAGAGACCATTTCATTAGGTATAGAGTTGTGTATGAGTCTTCCAAGCATGTCACTGTGCCAGAGCAGGCCCCACACACAGAGTGGTGTCCCTCACACAGAAGCTCCAGCTCCTCCAGCAGCCCTCCCTGTGGTCCTCCCGCCACCTCCAAAGCTCCTCCTGCCCAGGGGGCCCCCTCATCAAGCCGGATGCCACACTAAGGGGTACTTCAGAATGGGTCCCCTGTGAACAACCCCTCCCCTCGCCCCTTGCACCTCTAACTTGTTGATACCTTAGCAAAACAGAACAAAGCCATAGGCTGAGCTGGCCTGCTGGCATTTCCATGACTGAGCTGGAGCCCCTGCCGCCAGGCGAGGGTCAGACACTATGGCGTCAAGGAAGCCTCTGAAAGATAAGGGGTCTGTCTCACACACACCCAGCTTCCTCTTCTGGGAAATTTTACAAACAGGTCAAATTTTGATTGACCCCCAAATCTCTTTCCCCAGCAGCCCCTCGTATGCAAGGAATTCCCCACCATGTGCTTATGGTGATGCTGGGCTGGAGTGGTACACCCTTGGCTGCTTGTTGTCTCTTTGGGCTCTGACAGCTCCCAGGCACTGTCCATGTGCTTAGTGGGCACGCTCCGGAAGCAGGCTTTGGGGGATAGTGCTGTGGTTGGGGTCCCGTCTCGCTAGGACACATTCTGAGAGTCGGCTTTGCAGTTAGAATATTCTTCAAGGAAACGGTCCTGAAGGGGGCAGTCAAGCCGAGTTGCATCACAGCCACCGTGTGACCTCTCTGGCACTCACGTGTTTCCTGTTCCAAGTGGGATGGGGTGCCTGAATGACCTGGCTGGCTGACAGCTCTTTCTCTGTTTTGTTTTCTCTCGTGAAGGTGACAGCCTCTCTCTTAGGTTCACCTTCTAAGAACAGCTCCCTGCTCATTCTGACAGAAAATGAGAATGAGAAGCGGAAGTGGGTGGGGATTCTAGAAGGGCTCCAGTCCATCCTGCACAAGAACCGGCTGCGGAACCAGGTCGTGCACGTGCCGCAGGAGGCCTATGACAGCACGCTGCCGCTCATCAAGGCTGTGCTCACGGCCGCCATCGTGGGTACGTCCCGCAGCACTCTGGCCACAGCTGGGCACAGACAGTAGGGCCACACTGTGTCGCCGTAGAGCAGACTGCTGGCTCATGGGCCCATTTATGTTGTCCCCCAGATGGAGACAGGATTGCCATTGGCCTGGAAGAAGGGCTGTATGTCATCGAGGTCACCCGAGATGGTGAGTAGGCAGGGATGCTGCAGGGAATGAGCTGTTCACCTGCTGCAAGGGCCCAGTCACTGACAGTGGCCTTTACTAAAGGGAAAAGGCAGGCAGCAGGGAAAAGTGATTTGCAGAATGGCCGTGTTGAGCTCATTGGCACAGCACTTCCGGGGTTCGGGGTGCAGGATGAGCCGAGGCTTCCCACAGACCAGTTCTTCTGTTCTTCATGGGGCATGTTGCCCTGTCCCTCCCTGGCACAGCCCACCTTGGGACTGGGAACCCAGAATCTAGGCCACCTGGACAAGGGCTGAGCCCAGGAGCTCCATGTGGCTGGGCTGTGTTGTCCCTCTGGTTTCAGAGCAGGATCAAGAGTGAGGCCCCAAGCCAGGAGGGTCCTGGGTTAGTTTGGGGCCCAGAAGGACTGGAGGGAACACTTGTTCACCCACCTGAGGCTTCACCAGCTCGGGCATGTGGTGGAGTCCATGGCACCCCTGCAGCAGAGACAGTAGCCAGAGCCCCAGTGGCCGAGGGTGTGGGAGAGTGCAGGGACCGTGGGGCAGAGCTACCCCTGCCAGTGTGGGGCAGAGTCCCAGTGTGGAGCCGGGCTACTGAGTGCTGTGGCTCCCCTCACTGTCCTCCCCCTGGCTGCAGTGATCGTCCGTGCTGCTGACTGTAAGAAGGTGTACCAGATCGAGCTAGCCCCCAGGGAGAAGATCGTCATCCTCCTCTGTGGCCGCAACCACCATGTGCACCTCTACCCATGGGCCACGCTGGACGGAGCAGAAGGCAGCTTTGATATCAAGCTTCCGGAAACCAAGGGCTGCCAGCTCCTGGCCACTGCAGTGCTGAAGAAGAGCTCTTCCACCTGCCTGTTCGTCGCCGTGAAACGGCTGATCCTCTGCTATGAGATCCAGAGAACTAAGCCTTTCCACAGGAAGTTCAATGAGCTGGTGGCCCCCGGACACGTGCAATGGATGGCCGTGTTCAAGGACAGGCTCTGTGTTGGCTACCCTTCTGGGTTCTCTCTGTTGAGCATCCAGGGGGACGGGCCGCCCCTCGACCTGGTAAATCCCGCTGACCCCTCGCTTGCGTTCCTCTCACAGCAGTCTTTCGATGCCCTTTGTGCTGTGGAGCTCAAAAGCGAGGAGTACCTGCTTTGCTTCAGCCACATGGGACTGTACGTGGACCCTCAAGGCCGGAGGTCACGCATGCAGGAGCTCATGTGGCCTGCGGCTCCTGTCGCCTGTAGTATGTATATGTTTTCTGTTGCCATATCCCTGTTGCTGCTTCTCACATCAACAGTCACCATGTGTTCTATTGCTTTGGTTTGTCTCCCAGCCCCCGGCCAGGTAGTTACAGGGGCAGACAAAGGGGCTGTGAGGCCAGACTCACACTCAGCAGCCTCTCAGTGACCTCCTGCTGCCCAGGGTCCCCACAGAAGAGCCCCAGCGATGGCCTGTCTGGGCAGAGCTCAGTGAATGAAAAAGGGTCCTGGTCTTCTATCTCTTTGAAAAACATTCCCCATTCCTCATAATGTGTGAACGTACACAGCAGGCTGGGTGTGGGGAATGCCTATAATCCAAGCACCCTGGGAAGCTGAGGCAGGGGGGTCACAAATTCAAGCTCAACCTCAATCAGTTTAATGATTTAGTGAGATACTATCTAAAGGGGGAAAGAAGGGTTATGGTGGAGCTCAGTGCAGAGGCTGTTATTCAATCTCCAGAACCAGAAAAAGAAAAAAACTACACAAAACACTATAAGGCTAAAGGCTTTCGGTGGCCAGAAGAATCCAACTCTGGCGTCTAGAGTGCAGCCCCTCTTGGGGCCAAAGTCACTCTGAGGGTGGTAGGAGGCCTTCTATTCTCACATCAGTCACTCTCTTGGTGGAGGTGGCTTGGGGTGTGAGTGGGGCACTTAAGTAGAAGCCAGAAGCCCAATGCTTCCGGGAGTCACGGAGCAGGCAAGCCATGCTGCTGGCGTGTGTCCTCGATGTCACACAGCGCTGCCACCAGCCTACAGTCTGTGTGGACCTGGCCACTGCCTGTGCGCTCCTGAAGGCCTTCGGCCCCAAGCACCTCTGTCTCATTCCCTTAGGGGTTTGGGGCAGCTGGGGGGACACAGGTTTCTGACATGGCCGCTGCTGCCTGTGGGAAGTGACGTGTACTTTTCTTCCATTGGCTGTGAGTAAAGCCCGGCTGGGCTGGGCTGCTGTCTCCCCAGCCTGGCTGCGGGCAGTGTGCCCAGGTGTCGGCTGACCCCAGCCTGGCTGCTGCAGACCTGGCTGCTGCACCCACGCCTTCCTCCTGGCCTCCAGCCTCTCTGTTGCTGCCGTGCAGGCCTCTGTTCTTCCTGCTTAGCAAGGTCCTTTCTACCGGAATTTAACTGGTTTTGGAAAGTTGAGAAGGACGTGGGTCACTTCCACTACGCATCCAGCACACACCCGCTGTTCCTCATCTCTGCCTCAGGGCCTCTTGCCTCTCTCTGCGGTCTGTTTCAGAGCTGGCAGGAGATGGCCAGATGGCTGGGCGCAGAAGTATTGGTCGAAGCTGTGTGCTGAGCGCTCTGTGAGCCCTGCACAGGACAGGGATCATGCGTCCTGTCCACCAAGGACACAGCCCAGCATACTCTGACCTGCACATCTGTGCAACTCCAGATTTATGCTGCTTCCACTGGTTTTCTTAAGACGTTTTGATGTATATATCAGCAAGACAAAGGAAGCCCCATCCAGCAAGAAGAGGGCTTCCCCAGAATGCTGGGGGGTTGCTTGTGAGTCAGGCAGGGCTGGCTTTTGGATGTGTCAGTCAGGCTCTGGTGGCTGAGGTGTCCCTGCTGCCAGCCCCGTGTCTCATCTGCTCCCCAAACCTGGCTCTCTTTTCATAATGGAAAGAAAGGCTGTCACAGGGCCTGGGGATTTAGCTCAGCAGCATAAGTACCTGCCTTGCAAGCAGGCAGTCATGAGTTTGATCCCTGGTACTGATAAAAAGGAAAAAGATAAAAAAAAAAAAAACCTGTCACACAGGCTGGTGGCCTGTGGGTGGGCACAGAGCAGGCACTGGGTAAAGAGACCTTCAGCTGACAATGTCCTGTGTCTCAGGGCCTGTGACTTGCTCTGTGTCCTGGAAGGTGACTTCTGGGAACCGTGCAGGGGTGAGGCTGCCCAGGGATGACGGTGAGGTGCCAAGTCATAGCGGACAGCCACCACCACTCCATGTCCGTCAGGTCGTGCAGACAGGTTGTGCTGCTCCCTTGAATGTGTGGGGCCCCCTCTTCCCAGCCCAGGTGTCAGCAGCCCTTAGCACAACAGGTTGAGGTCACAACCTTCCTGCAGGGGGAGAGGAGACGGCTGCAGTCCTAGGGACCCAGAGCCTGCTTCCAGGCCTCCTTGGGAGCTCACCCTGCAGACTAGCCCAGCAGGCATCTCGACCCTGCCAGGACCGCCCTCTCTCAGGCCTGCATCAGTCAGCTGCTGCAGTTGGCCTTTCTTGTAAGAGCTGAGTGACAAAGCAAACTGTGAAGTCCTGGCTACCATCCATGCCTAGTTGCCAGGCGTGGTAGTGTGTGTGTGTAACTGTGGCTCCTGGGAAGCTACAGATGTGGAATCGGTGGTGCAGTGCAATGTGGAAATACGGGGGCCAGCCCCGGCCCTTGGAGACGGTGACTGGGGAGGAGGTGATGGGGCAGTTTAGGGACACTGGTAGGGAGGCAAGCGGTTCCGAGCAGCCCTGTGCTCAGCAGGCTCAGCGGGGCCTGCTCACCTCCGCCGTCCGCCCACGCTAGGTTGCAGCCCCTCCCACGTCACGGTGTATAGCGACTACGGCGTAGATGTCTTCGATGTGCGCACCATGGAGTGGGTGCAGACCATCGGCCTGCGGCGGGTAAGCGTGGGCCTCCTGCGGGCGGCGGGGCTCCCACCAGGGCAGCAGCACACGACCGATCCTCTGGTTCCCACCCCAGATCAGACCGCTGAACTCGGACGGCAGCCTCAACCTACTGGGCTGCGAGCCCCCGCGCCTCATCTACTTCAAGAGCAAGCTCTCCGGTGAGGGAACGCGCGGTGGAAGGGGCCCACGCCCCGTGGCCACTGCCCCATTGACCGCTGTTTCCTGCAGGTGCCGTGCTCACCGTGCCGGACACCTCAGACAGCAGCAAAAAGCAGATGCTGCGCACACGCAGCAAGCGGCGCTTCGTCTTCAAAGTGCCCGAGGAGGAGCGGCTGCAGCAGCGGCGGTAAGGGCCATATAGGAGGAGTGCGGAGAGCCCGGGGTCGTCCTCCTGCAGAGCCTCACCCTGCTTCCTCCCACAGAGAGATGCTCCGAGACCCGGAGCTGAGATCCAAAATGATCTCCAACCCAACCAACTTCAACCATGTGGCACACATGGGGCCGGGCGACGGCATGCAGGTGCTCATGGACTTGCCTCTGGTGCGTAGATGCGACTGGTACACAGCCGGCCTCTGCTCCCCACAGAGTGGCCTGCCCTGGGTACCCCCTGCGGGTGGGTGAGACCCTGCGACCACCCCAGTGTCCCTCCAGAAACTACCTGTTGGAATTTTAACTGCCTTGTATGAATTGGTAGCATGGTGGTATTTTTGGATTGTTTTGGGTTTTTCTTTTCCCCACCTTAAACAATGCAATTTCTGTAGTTTGACTTTTGCTAAAATGCCATTGCTGAATAATAGGGACCATATCCAGATTTTTTTTTTTTTTTTTTTTTTTTTTTTTTGTCTTTTTCGTTTTGATCGGTACCAGGGATCGAACTCACGACTGCCTGCTTCCAAGGCAGGCGCTTATGCCGCTGAGCTAAATCCCCAGCCCCGAGGGGCCATATCCAGAGGCCTGGGGATCACATGATCGCTGTGTCCCTGGGCTTGGTGGCCTGTCCTGGCTGGCCCACTCACCTGCTGTCCTCTTTCCCCAGAGCACCGCACCCACTGCACAAGAGGAGAAGCCTGGCCCTGCATCCACGGGCCTGGCCCGGCCACAACCTCCCCGGAGCAAGCCCTACATCTCCTGGCCCGCTTCAGGTACTGAGGGGCTGCAGGTGGGGACCCCGGCCCTGCATGTGCACAGAGTGTTCCCTAAACAAAGGCTGTCCTTGTTTTCAGGTGGGGCAGAACCTGGGGTAACTGTGCCTCTGAGGAGCATGTCCGACCCGGACCAGGACTTTGATAAAGAGGTGAGACCCACCCCAGAGCAGCACCTAGGCCCCCAGGCTGAGGCCCAGGACAGGGTGGGGTACAGCTTGTGACAGGCTGGGTAGGTGACAAGCCCAAGAGAGTCCGGTCCCTGAGTCTGGCCAGTACCCCCTTCTCCTGGACTTCCTGCCAGGCTTCACACACGGGACATCAAAGCAGGAGCTGCCAGCTGGGCTTGTCACCCTGGGAGGCTGAGGCAGGGGGATCATAAGTCCCAGCCCAGCCTGGGCAACCTAGTGACTTGTAAGTCCCCCTGGCTCACAATGCAAAAGAGGGGATGCAGCGGTGTCCCCAGTTCAGTCCTACTGGCTCTCATTTACGGGGCTTTCTTTGTTGGCTCGTGTCTCCCTCTTCATCCCCGGGTACTTGGTGTCTTGTGGGCAGCAGCGTGCTCGGGCTTCTGAGCCTCACTTCGCGCTCGTTTGCCATTGCGCAGGATGAGAACACCGAGCACCTGTGCCCTGACGCCCCTCCGGAGGAAGAGGTGGGGTCAGGGTGCTTCCGCCCAGCACCAGGGGCCCCTCCAGTATGCACGTGGCTCTCCACCCCATCCCTCTCGCGCTGCATCAGGCTGTTTGCTCATTTCTGCCATTTAGTACCGACAGCTGCGACAAAACAGGAAGAAATTTCATTTGGCTTCGGGTTTCAGGGGTTCAGTCCACAGCTGGTCTGCGAGGAGTTCGCTAAGTTCCTTGGCGCGGAGACAGGGTGCCCCTAGCCCCTCACCCCCACAGCCGCTCAGGCACCCCCCACCAGCGGACTCCACCAATCCTGGTGCAGGGCCCAGGCACACACGTCAGTAGGCTCCGCCAATTCTAGCGCAGACCCTAAAGCCGGTGGAGCTGATGCGCTCCACATTACCTCACTGTCCCCCTGCCCTCCTGGACGACTGTGCTTTCCACGGTTGGCAGTTGGCAGTGCTGCTCCCGCAGTAGCGTGCTTCAGGGACCTTTGTCTCTAGTTTTCTTAAGGGTGCTTTGTGATACAGAAGGTGTAATCCTATTATGCAGGTCCGTTTCTCAGTTGAGGTAAGTATCCTCTGGGGTCTTAAAGGTCCTCACAGGGCCTCTGCTAATGTTCATTGCTGCGTCTTAACACTGTGCGCGCCGGAGCCGGGTTGCTGGGAGCCCTGAAGCATAGCAGTGGACCAGTCTGCAGCCCGTCCAGCTTCTCACCATGGCTGTGGCCATGACAGGCCTTCCCCACCACCTGCGGGTGAAATCGCCGGTGTCCCTGCCATCCTTCCAGCACACACTGTCCCGTGCCTGCTGGCCTGTCGCTCAGGGAGGAGCCCCAGCACTCTGCAGCTGTGGACACCCATGCTATTGAGAGAGACCTTCCCTCTCTTAGTTTAGTGCTCCCCTCAACTGTGTCTTTGAGAAATGTCAGGTCTCAGGCCGGGGGTTTAGCTCAGTGGCACAAGTGACTGCTTGGCAAGCGTGATGTTCTGAGTTTGACAAAAAAAAAAAAAAAAGAAAGAAAAAAGTGTCACAAGAACGAAAGCATGAGCCCCACGCTCTCGGTTTTGGCCATGGGTCTTAATAGAATCCCTTTGAAAGCAGGAAGCAAAGTGCTAAGCGCTGCCCCAGCCTCTCTTCCAGGCCCCCACTGCCAGGGGGCGCTGGCCGCCCGTGCAGGGCCCCTTCCTCTCCAAGTGCTGAGCTCCCCAGCCAGCCTGGGCTCGGGCCTCTGAGGTCTGGGTGATGAAGCGGAGGCGAACCTTTCCCGGCCACGGCCCAGACATGCACCCACATGGCTGCGCGCTCCCCAGGTGCCACACCTCACACCTTCCCTGAGGGCCAGGGCCATCTCCCCAGCCCCACTGTACAGCTGTCACACGCCTGCCAGTCTACACTTCAGGGCTTCCCATGTCTCGGAGCCATCTTCTCTGGTCCCTTTCCTTCTGGGGCAGGATACACACGTGATTACACACCTTGTACGCTGCCCTCTCCTGGCTATTCTCCTTTGTTTTTTGAAATCAGGACCTGAACTAAGGACCTTGTGCTTACAGGCAGGCACTGTGCCACTGAGTGTATCCCCAGCTGCCCCCTGTATTCAGAAACAAGTCTTCAGCCTTATTTGGTGGGGATGGCAGTGCTGGACACCGAAGCTTGGAGATACAGAGCTGTGTCCCCAGCTCACTGATAAATTCTTTGACATGGTCTTTCCAAGTTGCCCGGCTTGGCCTTACAAGCAGCTGGCGTGCCAGGCGTGGTCGGCCAAGCCCACTGTGTCAGGTTTTAGCTGAGTTGCCTCCCCCCCGTTCCGGGGGTCGTCATCTCGCACTCTGGGTCAAAGATCTCTGGCTTTGGTGAAACCCAACTTCTGTTTTCTCTTTTGCATAGTTTTAGCTGTTGGCTGTTATCAGTTACTGTTTGTGTGTGGTGTGAGGTGCGGGTCCTCTTGCATTCCACTGCCCACTCTGGGGCCCGGAAAAGCCCTTCTCCTGGGACGGTCCCGGTGGGACAGGCCCCGCTCTGTCTGAGAGTCTGCCCGGCGTCCTCCGGTGTGCAGTGTGCTCTGAAGTAAGAGGTTTGGGGTGCACGAGTCCCTTTCTGCTTATCCTGCGAGCTCTCACCTTGTTTACAGCTCCCTGCCAGCTCTGAGGACTGGCTTTCCCATTGGTGCAGGAAGGCAGCTGGGTTTCAGCAGGGGTGCACTGAGCCTGCGGCCCCCCTGGGGCAGTGCCCAATTAGTCACCTTCCGGAGCTGGCCTAGAACCAGGCATCTTCCCATTTCCTACAAGGCGCTGTGCAGTCGCAGTGCAGGTTCCTCAGCCCTGGCTGTGTCACCCCCTCTCGCTCGGGCAGCCCGCCTGCAGCTGACTGCAGACAAGAGTGGTTGACCTGGGCCCTGCAGCTGGACCCGACTAACTCAGACCACATAGATTCCCGGGGTTTGTGCCATCTGAGGCGGGCAGTTGACTTCCTTTCCTGCTGGGACCTCAGTGCCTGCTCTTTCCAGGCAGTGTGGCTCGGCAGCAGCAAGAACCACGCCCCTCTTCCTTTGCTCATCACAGAGGACGCTGTGTCCAGCCGTGGGTGGTGTCATGGTGTCCCCTCTTCCTCCTGGTCTCCATCAGCATGTCCTGTGTGTGGCTCTGCCCCACCCAGTGGCAGTCACTCAGCTCCCTCTCTGCAGAGTCCCTCTGCAGGGGCTGTGACCACCACCTCTTTGCTGAGTGTGGGTGGACAGTGGCCGATGAGAGGCAGCCTGCGTGTACATAAAGCATCTGTTTCCTCGAATGGGGACCACAGCAGGCTGGCACTGGCTCCTCACGTGTCTCCTCTCTACATTGACAGCCTGACTCGGATTCCACCAAACATTCAACCCCCTCGAACAGCTCCAACCCCAGCGGCCCGCCAAGCCCCAACTCGCCGCACCGGAGTCAGCTGCCCCTCGACGGCCTGGAGCAGCCTGCCTGTGATGCCTGACGCCACTGCCCCGCCCCGCCCCACATCAGTGCCAAGAGGAGCTGATCAGTGTCGTCCGAGGAGATGTAGAGTCGTCTGTAGATATGAGAAGAATCTTTATATATAAGGACCAGCTGGGCACCACATTCTGTGGCGTGGACCAGATCGCTTGTCTGCACAGCCGTGAGGCACCATGTTCCGTTTGCACATGAAGGACCACCGCACACCTCACCCCGCACCGCCAGCCTGGCGCCGGCCTCGCCTTTGGAGGGACGTGGCCTCAGCACCTGTCTCTCTCCTGTTGCTTGAAGCCATTCCCAAGCCCCTAGGAGAATAGGAACAAGTCGTGTGTCACCCCAGTGTCTCGAGGCCTGCAGACAGTACAGTGCAGGTTAGCTGTGGGCAGAGGCGAGGACAGTGCAGCCACGTCCCCCTATGGGAGTCCCAGATGCTGCTGCCTCCTGTCACCAAGCCAGTGCATGTCCCAGCAGACCGGTCCTGCACCTGCTGGCTGAGAAGTGGCCCAAGTTCAAGGAGCTCACAGCAGGCACCTGGTGGGTCCACAGAGTCCCTGACACTCCGCACAGGCGGCTGGCCCGCAGCCTGGGGGCACCCTCCTGTATTGAACCCCGCTCTCTCCTGTCCCGCGTCAAGTGGTCAGGTCTGTGGTCCTGTCTCCTGAGGCGCGTGATTGACTGTGGCAGCAGACACGGCTGTCCCCAGCTCGGGACAGGCTCCTCATCCTCCCACCCAGTTCATGACATGCACTTGGCTGAGGTGGCACTGAGGGCCCGTGACACCCGTGGTGTCACACGCGGCCCCGGCCTGCCCCACCTGTCCTTCCCGGCCTGTGTCACAGGCCCCTGCTGGGGGTTCTAGTTTTTACTTTTTTAATGTAAGTCTGAGTCTTTGTAATTATTGAATTGTGAGGACATTTTTGAGCAATTTACCTGTCAATAAAGCAGAGATGGAAGTTTTACAGCTCTCCGTGGTTGTGTGGTGTGGCCTCTGATGTGCATGGGTACTTGGGAGCATCACACAGCAGATGTCGGGCAGGAAAGATGCAGGGGTCAGAGATCACGCAAAGGGCTGCCCATGTGCACACAGCAGGAGTGGGAACTGGGGGTCTCAGCCCAAGAGTCCAGGCCTCACCCACCCCCCCAGGCCAGCAGGTTGGGCTGTCTGCCGACGGCTGAGAACCACAGGGGCCCTGGGCAGTGACCAACCTTCCTGGGAGTGTGGCAGAGTTCTGGCATCAGCAGCTACCTGAGGACAGGCAGCCCCGCCATGGCTCCTGCTGTGGGAGAAATGGCCCTCCACACAACAGAGCTACACCCAGGGCACAGGCCACGCCAGCCACGAGGCCCTGGCTGGCAGAGCCCTGGGGACCTAGGCCCAGGGTACTCGCACAGCGAGGAGCAACAGGGCAGATGTGGGGCATACCACTCTGGAGTCCTGCTGCAGGGGTTTCCTCATACACTGGACACAGCCACCCCAGGGACCCTTCCCAGAGCTTTGGTGGAAAGCCAGTGGCTGCAGAGCCTGTGATGGGCCTGGACCTGCCTGCCTCGACCCTGCTAAGCACCCACAGAGCTCAAGGAGCACCGCGCTCCGGCCGTTTTCTTACTTTGAAGACCACCAGTGACCCAAGCTGGCCTAGAACTTGGAGACAGGGCTCACTGTGTAGTCCAGGTGGCCTCAAACTCCCAGTGATTCTCATGTCTCAGCCTCCCTAGTGCTGGGATTGCAGGCGTGCAACTGGCTGGTTTAGAATTTATGATGCTCCTGCCACAGCTTCCCAGGTAGCTAAGTTCACAGGTGTGGGCCACCATGCCTGGCTGTCAGCCACTTCCATTTAAGTGCTGGAGATTAAGCCCCAGGTGCTTCCCTCAGAGCTACACCCTGTCCCTTTATTTTTTGAGACAGGGAATGCCAAGTGGCTAAGTTCCAGGAAGGTGTCAGCAGCAGTTCATGGTACTGCTCCAGGTGAAAGGCTGGGCTCACACCTGTGATTGTCCTGCCTCAGCCTCCTGGGGTGCTGAGATCACAGGCAGGTACCACTTTGGCCAGCCCTGGCTATTTGCCATGCTGACAAAGTGGAGAATCCCTGGCCCCGTGAGTGGCAAATTACACCTATAGGCCACAAGTGCCACAGGAAAGCTGAGCGTGAGACAGCCTCCCCACAGCCTCAGAACTGGGGTACAGCCACCGATTTGCCCCCCTTGCCCTCCTGTGCCAGGTGACACGGCAGTGTGCTTTGAAACTCTGCCAGCAGGCAGACTGGCCGCATCTCCTTCCCATCCTGCTGATGCGCATGGCTCTGACACTCAAGCTGCCCGAGCTGCTTGGTATGGGAACCATGGGGAGCCTCACCCCCACTCCCTTCCCAGCCCCGAGAACCCGGCCCCACAGGCCAGCTGCAGGCTCAGCTGAGCAAGTCTGGAAGGCTCATGGCAGTGCAGAAAGCCCTTTATTGGGGTGCCCTGGGGCACAGGGTGTGAGGCTGCCAGCTTGGGGTCCTGCTGTGCAGGAGGTGGGTGCCGGGAGTCAGGCTTCAGTCTCAGCTGCAAACAGCGGGTTCACGAAGTAGCAGGTGCTGTTGTCTACGTTCAGGGCTAGGCTGGACAGGTGCACTGGGGGCTGCAAAGAGTGGGGGTCACAGGGGAGGGGAGGCAGTGTAGAGGGCCCCCACCTTGTCCTGAGGAACCCCCACGGCCTCTGCACCCTCACCTGCTTCTCCCAGGTTGCTGCATTGAACGTAGGGTTGGAGAAGCCCTCAGGCTCCCTGGTGAGCTGGGACTCTGCCTCCAGAGGTCTCCACCTAGGGGGCGGGTGGCAGAGGAGACCAGGTCCACCGGGCTGAGCCCTTCGGCACCGCACAGGCGCCTAGCTGTGCCCACCCCCATACCTGAGCCAGCCGGGGTATCCCAGCAGCAACGCTGACCCCAGCAGCGCCAGCAGCCCTGCAGCGGCCAAGCCGGCCCCAAGCCCCCAGCGGGATCCTGGGGAGACCTGCCCCTCCACAGAGCCGCTCTCCAAGGGCGCGCCCGACTCCTGCAGGACCGCAGACAGCACCCCGAGGGCCGCACCTGCAAGGAGAGGGGCGGGGAGAGCAAGACCCTGGGCCAGGGACTCCAGAGGGGGATGAGGGAGAGGAGGAGGTGGAAACCAGGGACTCCAGAGACCCGGGAAAGCGAGGACCCCAGGCCTGAAGATCAGGGACTCCAGAGGGTGGCAGCGGGGACCCCACGCCCGGGGTGGTACCATGCTCTGCGTCCGCTAGCAGCGCGCGTCCCAGCTGCCCAGCAGCACCACCCGTCCCGGGCGTGGACTCCACCAGCACCACCTGGACGCAGGTGTCCCCGTCGCGCTGCACCTTAGACACGGCCGCCTGCAGCTCCCGGTACTGCGGCTGGAGAGGGGACAGGTCGGTCGAGGGTCGCGGATGGGGGCGTCGGGCTAGCTGGGCGGGCTGCATTACCTGGGCCAGGAAGGTGTCCCGCAGCCGTGCGCGGTACCGCTCCAGGTTGAAGGCGGCCGTGTCGTAGGTCAGCGACACCACGGCTCCTGTGACCAGAGGGCGGACTCAGCCACACGAACCGAGCTCGACAGGAAACTGAGGCAGGCTCTCCCCGAGCCCCGCTGTCGGGCGCTCACCGCAGAGGTCGCAGCACTGGCCTTCAGGCCGCAGAGCATCTCGGCAGGGCGCGGGGGGACAGCGGCCACCCAAGGGATGGAGCAGCGCGGCGCAGACCCACGGCAGCGTCTGGGGTGGGAGAGGCAGTCAGCGCGGGCCACGGCCGCCGCCCCCACCGCCATCCAGGGACGCTCACCTCCGCGCTGCCGCACTCGCAGCCGGAAGGGTCGGCGCAGGCCTGGGAGCCCACGCGCAGCTCGCCCGGCCCGTGGAAGCGCAGGCGGCCGGCGCGGGACGCCAGGAAAGCGGCTAGGTCCTCGTCGCGCGTGAACGTCTGCGGGATCAGGATTGGGATCAGGATCCGAGTCTCGGCGCTCCGACTCACGTGCCCGGGAGGGGACGCGCCGGCGAGAGGACCCGGCTGCCCGCTCACCTGCCCCAGTGCCGAGACGCTGCGGACGCGCACCGGGCTGGCGCCGGGGCCCAGCCCCACGCGGAAGGAGGCGTTGGACGGGAAGACGACGTCGTCGTGGACGCAGGGCACGCGCTCCGCGTCCACGGAGAAGAGGCCGGGCGCCTCGTCACCAGAGCGCCACAGGTGCGGGTCGAGCCAGGAGAAGCGGTCCGGGTTGCGGAAGAACACGGGAACCCCTGGGGGCGCGCGTCCCGGAGTCGCCTGGGCTGCCGGAGGGCTTTCCCTATCCCCGCCCACGGCGTGCACGCCCCACGCCCAGGCTGGAGCTCCGCCTGCGACAAGCCACACCCCCGAGCCGCCCCGCCTCCCGGGCGCACACGAGGCAGATCCCCGGACCCGGCCCGCGCCTCACCGGAGCTGGGGCTGCAGTCACTGTGCAGATCTGCGGGCGCAGGGGCGGCGCTGAACCCCGCTCCTGGGGCCAAGACGAGCTCCCCATCCAGCGGCAGAAGCTGCGGGGAGCGCAGGCTGAGGACCAGGCCGCCCTGCGCCCAGCGGCCCCCGGGGAGGTCGGGGCGGCAGGGAAGAAAGCACAGCCTTGCCGGGCTCGGGGCGGGCATGGCTCGGGCCCCCAGCTCTGAGCCGGCCCAGGGGATACAGCCTCAGCCTGGCGCACATCGCCTGTGGCAGTCCATCCGGGCCCGGGCCCGAGCAAGCACAGCTTACATCTGCGCCAGCCCCTGATGACGACGGTGCCCGGGAGGACGGGGAGGGCAGGGAGCGCCCTGCACCCCAGCCCACGGCCTCATCACCACGCAGCCCACGCAGCCCTGAGGTCGCAGCACTGCGTGCACCACAAAGTCACCAGCAGCCAGAGGCAGGCGCGGCCCGCGATGGGGAGGCACCAGGGTGGCCCTGAATGAAGAGGGGTCTGTCCCGCTGTGCTGGGGCCAGAGCTCAGGACCGTGGCCCTGAACTGCATCACAGCCCGTTTTAGTTTTAAAAAGCAAAGTTGCCGATCACCCAGGCTGGGCTCAAACTTGTGATCCTCCTGCCTCAGCTGCCAGAGTGCTAGGCCTATAGAGTTACCACCTTTGCAAAGAATGTGTTTATAAAGTCAGCAGCTGAGAGGTAGAGCACTTGCCTAGCAAGTGCCTGGCCCTGGGCTTGAGGTCTCCCCAAGGTAATAGTAATAATAGTGATGATAAAAGCACCAAAAGGAAATAGGGATAAAACATGAAACTGGCAGCACTGGGAGGAGGACAGAAGCCGGGTCAGCACATGGCTGCGGGAAGGAGGCCCAGGACCCAGTAAGGGAACACAGTAAGGAGAACCGAGAACGCATACACTGCTACGTAATATTTTCTTTGATGTCAGGAATTGAACTCAGGACCTTGTGCTTGCCAGGCAGGCTCTTATCCTCGGTTAACATTTTATACCAAAGACAGCCATGTGGAAATGTCAGGGGGAAAGAATGGATTGTTCCAGAAGAGGAGAAATTCCATTTAGATTCTTTAGCAAGGACAGAGCATGTAAACTGGGTGTGGCAGTGCAGGGCGTCTATCCCAGCTCTCTGGGAAGCTGAGGCAGGAGGATTACAAGTTTGAGCCCAGCCTGAGTAACTAAATAATTTAGTGAGATCCTGTCTCCAACAAAACCTTTTTAAAAATTTGAGAATGTAGTTCAGTGCAGGGGACCTCAGTTCCATCCACAGTACAGAAAAACAACAACAACAAAACAAAACCTCCTGCAGTTTAAACAGGCTTTAAGAAATGGATGGTCGTCAAGCAGGTCTGGATCTCAAGGTGCGGGAAGGAGGGGGGGATGCTAGATGGTGTCCAGCAGGCGGCAGTGGAGAGCCACAGCAGACACAGGGGCCTGCAGAAGCTGCTGATGTGACCTTGTCCCCAGGACAAGGAGAGCCAAAATTTGGAAAAGCTCCCAACAGACTCAGGGCCCCCAGCGGCTCATCTGGATCCACACAGAGTGGACAACATCTTTTAAGATCTGCTACCTTTAAGCCGGGCATAGTGGCGCACACCTGTTATCTCAGCACTCAGGAGGCTGAGGCAGGAGGTTCACCTCGTTCAAGGCCAGCCTGGGCTACATGGTGAGCCCCTGTCCCAAACCAGTTCACCATTGCCTTGAACAGGTGCGTGGAGTCCTCTTTAACATGAGAATGGGACAAGGACCCCACGGTTATCACTCTGCCCCTACGCGGAACAGAGATCCCAGGAGGCCAGGCCATGTGTCCCCAGCCCCACCCCCACCCCAGCCTCACCAGGTCAGCGACCGCATGGCTTCCGCGCACCAGGACCGACATCATCTGCGGGAGGAAGTGGTCAGCGCCCACGACCCCATCCTGCCCTGCCCTCCCCACCCCGGGATCCCAGGCACCTTGTCTGCCGGGAACTGGATGGTGTCACCCGCACATGGAGTCCGGTTCTGGCTCCAGTTGGTGTCGGTGTCAAAGTCAGTGTTGGAGACCCAGATTTTGTATGCGGCCTGGGCCAGCGCTGAAGAGGCAGAGCGTGACTGGATGGGGTGCCGTTGTCCTTCCCCTCTGCACCTGGTCCCGCACCCTGGGCACCGGTCTGCCTGTACTGCCCATGCCCACAGGATGCAGCCTGGACCCCGCAGCCCCGTGTGCTCCTCGGGTAGTGGAGAGACTGGTGGGTGGCAACCAGGCAGTGGATTTTAAGCCTCCTGGGCACTGGGACACGCGGGGCTGGGGTGCCGGCTTTCACCAGGACCTCAGAGGAGGGAAACTTGAGGCAGGCTGCCTGCCCCAGGCACCTGGCAGGGCAGGTGGTGTGCTCCCCCAGCCCCGGGCCCCGGCGACTCTGGCCTACCCCAGAGCTGCAGCCACAGGAGCGCCTGGCCCAGCGACCCCATCTCTGCGTTGCGTTCCGGTGCAAGGAGACTTTGCCCCGGCCTGGGGCGGGGCCCAGGTTACACATTCACGGGGCGGGGCCACCCCTGCTGCCCCCTGGGGATTCAGATGGAGCAGACACTGGGTGGGGGGTGCTCGATGATGCCATGGCGGGGTGGGCGGGGCCGGGCCAGGCGGGGCGGGTCTGCGGGGCGGAACCACGCAGCTGCGCACTCCAGGAGCATCAGGGTGGTAGCCGCGGAGTGCAGAGGCTCCCTGGGCAGATGAATGTGGCGAACTGGAACGGACGAGGCGAGGGGGAGGCGGACAGAGTGCAGGGCAGTGGGTGGAAGTGACCGTCTGCAGGGGGTCAGGTGTGGGGCGGCCAGGGGTCAGTCACAGGCGTGTGCCACCTGTGTGAGGTGCGCGGTATGGAGAGAGGCTGAGGCCAGGGTTGGGGACTTGGGCGTTTGGAGCTGTGTACTCTGTCACCCTGCCCTCCTGCGACACCTCGGCCTTCAGCTTCTCACCCCAGAGGGGGACCCCGAGCTAGGTGCAGCAGGGTCACCTGTGGGCAGGGCGCCTGCTGCCCTCAGTGCACCTCCTGCCAGTGGGGCACGTTAAGTGGCTGAGGGTGGGCCTGCAGCTTGGCCCGGTCAGCCCACCAGCCCACCGGAAGCACCATCTAGGGGCACAGTGAAACTTGGGGGCAACATCTGGTCTGCTTGGTGTCACACCTTTTAAGGTGTGGCATTGTGGATTGAGCTCCCTGCCAGCCCTGCGCCTGCGGCCATACAGGTCCCCAAGGCAGGAAGGCTGGGCCCAGGCATCAGGAGTGCCCATGCTGCCACCGGCCAGGCCCCTCCCAGAGATGTGGAGGCCAGCGAGGCCCATGGGCAGCTACGAGGGCTTGGGCTGAAGGTGGCAGGAAGGGCAGAGCTGGCTGCCTAGGGTGCCCAAGGGGCACCCCTGCAGATCTGAGGACTGCCGGCAAGAGGCAGCAGTAGGTGATCCCACAAGGTGGCCCTGGCAGCCCCAAAGTCCTGGAGGCTGAGAGCCAAGCTGGGAGCAAGGAGGGGACCACTGAGGTGTTGGACCCTCAGCTGGCCTCTGTGCCAGTCCCCAGGGAGCTCAGCACCTAGGAAAGACCCGGCTAGGCTGCCCAGGGCGGGCTGGGTGCCGGGCTGTGTCCCCCCACTGGGACTGGATTCCTGATGGCTACCTCCTCATCCAGCCTCTATGACCAGCTCCCCACGTGCCAGGGCTGTCCTATGGGGCTCCTGGCTCCTCTGGGGTGTGGCACCATGAGAGGCAGCCACCTCCAATGCTGGCCTGGGGCATCTTCGGGGAGTGGGGCTAAGGGGGGGGGCTGAGAAAGAGCTCGGCAGGCATAGCTCCGGGTGGGGCTCGGGCTGTGCACTGTGCCTTCCCCATCTACCCAGGGTGCTGGGGGTGCGGGCGCAGGGAGGTGTTGCAAGGCTGGGGCAGCACAGCTTCCAGGCCTGGGTGAGGCTGGCAAAGTCCACAGGTACCCCTGTCTTGGGGATCCTCACACTGGGATCCCTGTACAGTGGCTGGTTCTACTCAATGACAGCCGTAAGCCCCACAGAGGGGAGGCAGGGGACTGCTGCATGGCCCAGCCCCATGCCTGTCAGTGGGCCCAGCTAGGGCCAGCAGTCCGGTCTGGACTAGAGGCCCCAGCTGCCCTGCTGTAGGCTGGGCACTGCGGGGCACTTCCTGCTGGGCATGTGGCTCCTGCTGGCTGCTCACCTGCCCACCTGTCTGGTCCCTCAGCTTGGGAGTGGGGAGCAGGGCTCCTCGGAAGCTGCCGCTGGAGGGGGCTGTGGTGCAGGTGTCCCCTGCTCTTGACTTCTGACCCAGGGCCGGTCAGGGTGAAGCCCTGTGTGCCAGCGGGGTGTGGACCTGGCATTGGGGCCAAGCACAGCAGGAGCCTCCCATGCAGCACTGCCCTCCAAGGGTGTTTCTTCCACAGGACTGCTGTCTCTTTCTGTTTCCAGAGCCGCCACAGTCCTGCAAGCTGAGGTCTCCTTGGGGCAAGTGTCGGGTCTCGGCCTCCTCTCCCGCCCTGCAGAGCCTGGGCCCCGAGGCCAGGCACGGTGCACCTTCCATCCTGGAGCCTGAGGCACGGCCCCTGCCCAGTGCAGAGGTCTCTGTGGCCTTGCCCACCCTCGAGCTCCTGATGCCTCTGCACTTGTTTCCAGTCAGAAGGGCGGCACCCTCTCTGCCCGAGCCCAGGAACTCCATCACACACCAGCCTGGACCCCACACCCGCCTTCATCACCCCAGCAGCTCGCAAGGGCCCCTAATGTGCCCTGCCAGGGCCAGCTCAGTGCCCCTTCTCATCCAGGCCTCCACCTGGCATGAGGCAGCCAGTCTTGAGGTGACCACCTGTCCCCATTCCTGTTCAGCTCAGGAAACACCTGGAAAATCCAGCCTCTGAGATCCCACTGGGCACATCCTCGGCCTGGCCCAGCACCCCAGACCGTCGGTAGAAGGGATCCTATGCCAACAGTGACTGGTGCTCCTGGGGCCAGGCTGCATCTGACATGGGGCCGCCTGGCCTCACTGCCTGGGGTGCGGGGCAGGCAGCCTGGCAGACAGCCAGGCTGGGGGTGGGGCTGTGCCCAGGGCGAGGCCAGCAGAGGACCCTGGGCTGAGGCTGAGCGAGAGCTGTAGGAGCTGCAGGTGGGGCTGAGGGTCGCCCCCAATCCAGGGCACCCCAATGAGATGTGAGGCTTCCTGTTGCCAGGTCTGATGTGGAGGCCAAGCTGGGGTGGCCAGAGCAGCAGTACTAAGTGAGCAGTGTGCCACTGGTCCCTGTCCCTCAGCACTGTCCGCCTGCCACACTGCAGAGGAAGCGACGGCTCCGGGGTGGCGGGCTGAGCACCAGTAGCCCAGCCCACGCCACAGCCTCCGGAGCCCGCCCTGGACCTCTCCAAACTCTAAGCAGTCCCAGTCCCGAGTTCCAGGGTGGGTCTGACAGGCCCTGGTTCCAACTCTATGGATGGCCAGGTGACAGCCACGGCCCCTGGGGCCATACAGAACCAGGACCCTCGCCCAGACCCTCGCCCAGGCCTGGCAGTGAGAGACAGAGCCAGAAGAGACCAGGACTCTTAATCAGATTTATTTTTCTCTAATAAGACAGTTTAGCATTTCCAAGTTTCGCATTCTACAATCTTACAAACGTTAGTTATTAGCATCAGAAACACAAAACCATCGCAAGACCTCAAAACACAAATAAATACCAAATAAAACCACACACGATGCACAGTTAACAGAAACGGAATAATGCTATCAGAGTCAGACACGTTGCCTCCCCCAGGACGCCGCCGTTATTGCTGGGCAATAACTCACACTGCTGTCTCAGAAGAGCTGGGCACAGGAGGCCACTACTGGTCACCATCACTTGGAGTCAAGGTGGGCCGCACCGTGTGGGCACCACACACAGCCATTTGTGAAAGTCAGGTTCCGAGAGACTGGCCTTCTTTGGTCTTTGTTTTTGGGTATAGAACTGAACACAAGAGGCGAACGGACCACCTGGGAAAGAATGCAAATCTAGAACCGGTCTTAGCCGCCTACGTCCACCGGACACTTCCTTGGTCATGGAGGTTTCTCCTCAAGATCTGAGAAATCCTGAAATAAGGGCGGCTTTTGTGTTTTCCAATTGAGTCGCTGAGTTTCGACGGGAGGTCGTCCTGTGTGTCTAAGGGGACCGAGCTGGAGAGCCAGGTGCACTAGCTAAAGGGGTAGAGCCGGGCCCTGGACCTTCCCTGGTCTGCAGCACTGGCACAGGTGCAGCGGGGGAGGGGCAGCTCGTCACACACCTAGGTGATGCCCCGGTGACGCCAGGTACCGCACTGGCCTCACCTGCGGGAAGCCCTTGCGCCCCATTGACCTGGCTGCCATGGTGTCTGGCAGCCAGCACCAGCCTCGACAAGGCCAGCATGGTGACCAGGTCACCTGCTGGCACCAAGCTCGCCTGACCCAGGCCCACAGGACACACTGGACTTTGGAGTAAACGGTTATGGAGATTTGCAAACAGAAGACAGAACATGGTGGGGGACTGAGAAGGGGGCCCGGTGGGCAACCCTCACTTGTCATGACTGCCTCCTTGAGCCCCCATTCTCCCACAGCCTAATCCACAAAGATCTGCACCAAACATAAAAAAATAGCATCCCAGACCCAGCTGGGCCCTTCCCGCTGTGCTCATGACCTCAGGCAGGGAGACGGGTCGGTGCAGCGAGGGGTCCCCCAGGAGTCTGTGCTCTGAGCAACCCCGAAGTGATCCAGACAACCCTACGTGTTGGAATGTCTCAGCCAGGCCTGCAGTGACCACCCCGCAGTTTGTGGCAGTGGACAGTGGGCAAGGGAAGTGCAAGGGGCTGGCATAGGGATGGGCATCGGGTGGCCACTGGTCTCCCAGGGCTGTCACAAGGGACCCCTTGGGAAGCCCTGCTCTGTGGGGCACCAAGGGCAGTAACCACCAGCTGTGTAGCCCCCAGGCAGCCATGCTGACTTCTGGAGCCCTCCAGCAAGGGGGTGGCATCCCCCAGGACACAGTCCCCGCCAGGGTGGGCCAGATGGACCCCACAGGATCGAACCTGCAGACAAGGCCAGCCACGTGTGGTCAGGGGAAGCCACGGCACGGTAACCCACAGCTCCCAGGGATCACAGGGTGAGGAGGAAACGGGACCGAGTGGAGAGAAAGGAGGTGGGAACACACCCACTAACCAGCCAAGTGGGCGCCAGGAGCCACAGAGCCTTGGGACACAGAGGGCACCATGAGGTCAGGGGCTGCTCTGCTCCTTGGGGGGGAGGGGACCAGGACACGGCTTCTCGATGGCCCCCAGCCATGGCCCAGCAAGTGACTGCTGTGAATCTAGCCCACCAGGCTCCCAAGACAGTGGGGGTGGCGCGGTGGCCTTGTGGTGACATGTGCTCCTGTCGGGCCTCGGGGGCATCACCCGTGGGGCTGGGGACATGGCAGCCTGGCTCCTCAGTGTGGACTGTGCTCCCAGTGCCCGAACCCTGACCCCACCACCACCCTTTCACCACAACCCGGCCTCTGACGGTGCCTCTCACGTCCCCCTTGGAAGCCCAGAACCAGAGGCCCAGGCTCCGGCCTGTGTGTCGCCCGGCTGGGCCTAGCAGCACCTTACCCCTGCAGCAGGGGTGGCCACAGTGACAGTGTCACAGACACAGGACGCCGCTGCCCTGCACAAGCTGCAACGCAAGGGACTCAGTGTGGGTTTCTCTGAAGGGCAGGACGGCTGTGCCCTGGGAATGTCATCACTTTTGGTTAACTAAGCAGCACACGCTGGACACACACTAGGAGCACAGGGCCGCCCGTGCTCCTGAGCTGGGACACTGGGAACTGAGGTTGGGGCAGCCGGGCGCTGGCCATGTGGCATGTGCAGCTGAGGCTGTCGGGCACGAGCACCGAGGGGGGTGCGGGGCACCCGAGCAGGACACCGCCACGCCACCTGGGATGGAGTCCCTGCGGGTCCTGCGAGCACGCCAACCCTCTCTCCAGCACCACTCACTGAGGCAGCGGCCACGCCACGCCGGCCTCACCCAGGGGCAGTAGGATCACTCCAGTCATACTCGGGGATGCAGGGCGCGGCCGGTGGGTCCAGTACCCCCCAGGGAGTGGGATTCCAGGGCTCGGCAGGAAGGGGCACTCTTGCACAGCCCTGGAACCCACACCCCAAACCTGCTGGTCCTGAGTGGGGTCTCACTGGCACCGGGAGGGGAGGAGACCGCCGGCAACTGTGGGGGTTTAGCCAGGGGGCTGGGGCACTTAAGGGGCCAGCTTTCTAGGCAAGTCCTTTCTTCTCCAGAATCAGAACCAAGGATGCTGGCCAAGCCCAAGGAGCCCAGAACGCAGAGGGGAGCAGCAGATGGGGTGCAGAGCCGTGCAACACGGAGGGGTGGGAGGTGCATGGAAGCTTGGGGCCAGGAGTGCAGGGGAGGGCACGTCCAGCAGGCACTGGGGCGAAGGCACACCCAGGACAGAGGACAGCACCAGAGACAGGGCCACCGGGAATAGCCCGGCGGACCCCACGCGACCACGGGCAGCCGAGAGGCAGGCAGTCTGGCCGCGCCCAGCTGGCCGGTCGTGGGTGCGCCTTTGGGCGGGCGGCACGGATGTGGTTCGCACACACTGGTTTTGCCTAAGAAGCACCCATCGCGTGTAGCACCCATCAGTGTAAGAGCACCGAGAAGCGTGGTGCATAGCAAAAGGGGCACAGGCGGGGCTCCAGGCTTCCGATCACAGTTGGGCTCGAGACGGTAAACAGTGCTGAGTGCCAAGGGGCGGGTGAGCAGCGGGTGCTTGGGGAGATGGCCTGGCCGCCGCTCCCACCAGCTGGTGGTTGCGGGCGCCCTCAGACCAGCTGGACGGGGCTTCCGGCAGCGGTCTCTGGGATGCTCAGAGGGCTCTGCTCTGAGCTGTGGGCACCCAGGGCCAGATGGGGATGTGGGTATGTGGGGTCACGCAGCTTTCGCTCTGCACCTGCCTCCCTGGGGGTGGGGGGCCCAAGTGGCTCTGGGGCCTGGAGTTTGGAATCTGCATGATGAAGCCGAGGGCTCCGGAAGCTGCCGATGGAGTCTGGCCTCCCCAGGCAGGGGCGGAGCTGTGTGAGGGCCTCGGAGACACAATTCTAGCTGCGGGGAGAGAACAAGGTCTGGTTCAACTAGCACTTCCCAGGATACCCCGTCACAAGCAAATCCAGGGTCAAGCAGCAGCAGCAGCATGTCACGTCTAAGGCACGAGTACCGTATGCCACCTTCCCTATGCAAGGACGTCACTTCCGGGGACTGCACCGGTGCACAGTAGCGGGACAGATGGAGACGCTTCCGCCAGCCCCCGAAGCGCGGCATCCACCCCGCCGGACAGACAGATGGACGGACGCAAGTGGGTGGGCAGGCGGGGAGGTGTCGCTGCTGTCAGCGTGGAGAGCTTGTCTGGACATGGGGCAGAATTTTAAAAACCTACAGGATTCTGTTTAGAACTCCAAAGTTCAACTAATGCCCTATTTTAGGGTGAAAACAATTATAAACCTGAAAATGATGCACAGCATCCATGAGCAATGTTCCTCTCGTAATAAATTTGAAGTAGTGTCAGGAACTACGACAGAGATCGAAGGTTTACATTTCTAACGAGAAATAACATCAAGCTGAATTCTCTTTCCTATCACAAGTGATAACCAGTGTTGATAGTTTACATTTTCTTCCAAGAAGTATCAGTCTGTCAATGTTTGAAAGTAAAATGTCTGCAGTAACAATTATTTGTAGAACTTTAAATTAAAAAATGATTTCTGAATTTAGATACTTTCAAAAAAAGACCTAGATACACTTCAGGGTCTTCTGACAAACAAATCATTAAAATGGAGACCAGATGGGGCCTTAAAAATAGACAATACACTGTATTTGGGACAAGACTGCACTTGAGTTGCAGAATGAAACTCAGAACTGCGCTAGTGTTCCCAGCTACCCTTGTCCTCAGCATGCTGCTCTGTCCAGCCGGCCCGTGTGTGTCCTGGGTCTGGTGTTCAGGTTAAGGAGGAAAATCATGGTTCTTTTACTTAGCATATGTGTTTTCCACCTTGATTAACTAGATCTTTAAAAACGAAAATGGAAAACTTCTCTGACGGCAATATTTATCTTGTCAAAGGATAAATAATTCTTCGGCGTGAAGGCGGCTAGTCTACGGGAGGAGGGGCCGGTGTCTCCGGGCTCCCCCGCCCGGCCGGCCGTGGCTGCTCCGCCGCACTCAGGACCTCAGTGAAGACAGACCGGCTCCACCCCCGAGGAGTTACCTTCTGCTGACGCCGCTGCCCGTGGCTGCTCAGGGGTCGGGCAGATCCGAAGTATCCACTATGACTTTAATAAAAATGGTATCATCTTTAATGTACGTCCCGTTTTCCAGCACAGTCTGAGCCACAAAGACCGGGCAGCCGGAGGCGATGTTCATCTCCCCAGTGGGCTTCTTGAAGCTGCTGCTGTTGGGGTCCGGCTTGAAGGCGTCTCCCAAGTGGCGCCGGGAGGAGCCCTGATCCATCAGCATGAGCGTCACCTTCTGCTTGAATGGCCAGGGCAGCAGAGCGTCGTACTCACCACGCATGATGACAAAGAACAGCGACAAGTGCGTCCCCTTCCCCATCCCGTCCCCGTTCAGGTAGACCCTGGCACACATCTTGTAGCCGAAGTAGCCTGTGTAGAAGGGCTGGCTATACAGGGACAGGGTCTTCCCCATGACAGCCTCCTGCTTCCGGCGCTTGTAGTCGCGGATCTTCCAGATGAGCACGCCGTTGTAGCTGGCCGTCTCCAGCACCTGGAAGCGCAGGTCCATGTCGGCCAGGCGGATGTCATGGACGCTCAGCATCTGGTCGTGCCGGCTCAACTGGGACTCCAGCAGGCCTGCCATCGTGGGAGAGAGTGGTGGGTGAGATGCAGGATGCCGGAGGGCAGCGTCACAGACACACACTTGCGTCTCTGCCTATGGCCACTGAGGCCACAGGACCCGGGGAGCGGCAGGCTTGCAACCTGCTGCGGGAAGTAGGCTATGCCAGGAAGTCTCCCCGCCTTCTCCTCCTGCACCCCTGACTACATGGTCACCTGTGCCCTGCGCCTAGGCTGCCCCTGCCCCCACCTCCCCTGCCCGCTTAATCTGGCCATGAGTGCTGGATAATCCTGTGGTCCCCCTTAATCCTTCTCATGCCAGCCCCCATCCTCACCCAGGCCTCCATCTGCTCGTTGTGCAGGGCCCCCACAGCAGCCCGAGCGGCCCCACCCCGCCCCGCCGCACCTGTGTTCCGCGCCGCCTGCCCCGCACTCTTGTCCACACTCTCCAGCTCGGTCACGCGGTTCTGCAGGGACTCCACGCTGCTCTTCACGCTGTCCGCCTCCTCCCAGTTCTGCCGGAAGGGGCGGATCTCCTTGTCCAGCTCCTTCAGCTTCTCTGCCTGGCTGTCTATGACTCGCTTCCAGACCAAAGGTGCAGAAAGGCAAAACCCAGTGAGGACTGGCAGAAGAGGCCGCTCGCATGCACCGGCATGGGGAGCAGGGGATGGGGCTGGGGTGGCGCCGGAGGAGGACGGACAATGGTTGGCTCAGATGGGGGCGCTGCCCAAAGCCAGTGGGTTGCCCACTCTCAGCATCCCTGTCCCGCACCACTCCTGTGTCACCCGGGCGCCCACACCCATTTGTGTCAAAGATCCCACCCTTGTGTGCCCTGGGCCCCTTCTGCCCTCCTGTCCAGCACTGTGTGGACCTCAGATCATGGAGCTGAAGGTCCCCGAACCCCAAGGGCCAGGACACAGCCGCACACTCAGCATGGGCCTCAGCTCAGACCCAGCAGACACTGTCACAGCCCTATCCTGCTCAGAGGGCCACTCCGGAGAGGGCCTCCCCCTCCCTGCACCTGGCCCCACACAGCAGCTGCCCATGGCAACACCACCTTGGCTGAGGGAATCCAGATGGCCTCTCCTCCAGAACACACAACCAGCCCCATCACGGTGCTGGGAGGGACAGGACTGCACCCTGGCTACAGTGGCCGACTTAAAGGTCCTGCTTCTACTTGTCACAGAGAGGCCAGGGTCCCAAGGGTTTCACTCTGAGAAGAATCTGCATACAAGCAGAGCTCAGGTGCTCCAGGCTGAGCAGGCCCAAGGCTGGGAACCCCGACGTGGCCTCGAGGCTCCTCCTGGTTTTGAGCCTCTAGGTTTTGGCACCTTTGCTAGGTGCCACTGACCATGGAGAAGCATGGCAAGGCTGTGCCACCTCTGTGGTGACAGCACAGGCCTGTTCTTCCCACTCTCTCTAAGAGGAATAATGCCAGCTGGTGTCTGAAAAGGACTGCTTGAGGAGTCATTGGCTCCTGAAACCTGTTTTCTGGGGGCCGACACTATGGCACACACACTGCCTGCCTCCCTTCTGAGCCTAGGGTCGCAAAGTCCAGGCTGCCTTGAACCTCCAGAACAACGCAATCCTCCCGTCTCGACCTCCCAAGTTCCAGGGTGCCCACGGCGGGCTCTCCTCCTCCCTTGAGCATCTGCAGCGTCACATCTGTCTCCTGTGCCAGTGGCTGAGTGAGGGAGGCTGTGCACGAGGACCCGAACATGGCCCGAGAGACAGTTCCTTCGCTGGCCAAGCATCACCTTCAGCCTCACGCTGGCCCCGCTGGGCTTCAAACATGCAACAGGACGGTGCAGGGAGGCACACACATGCCGTCCTCAGCCTGGCTTGACTGGGTCCTGGGCAGGCTTTCCACACCTGGCCAAGGGACGCATTCCTTACAGGACGGACCCTGTGCTTGCACAGACAGCAGAGGGGACCTTCGCTTCCCCGTGGGCAGCCTCTATCTACAGTGGCCTCTCAGAGTTGTGTGTCATGCTTGATCCAGGTTCTTTCTTATTTTTTGGTACTGGGAATTGAACTCGGGACCTTGAGCTTGCCAGGCAGGTGCCTGTGCCTCTGAGTTGTAATCCCAGTTCACCACCCAAGTTCTTTCTTCAGACAAGTGTGCCTCCTCTGCGCTTCTCTCCCCTGCTCACTCTGGAGCGCTGAGGCTACATCTCTGGGCTCTGTTGCCCCATCCCGGCTTCCTGATGGCCACCTCCTAGGGTCACTCCCATACACTGCACTCAGCCAAGCTGAGCCCACCAGGAAGCCAATGAAAGCTTCCCCAGGGCAAGCAGCAGGGGTGAAAAGAACTCACGTGGGCCCGCAGGTGAGGGCGACACCTGGCTCCTTGCCTGCACACCCTGGCCTCCGTGGGCTTCCTGGCATCATCTCTGTGTCACCCCACAGCCAAAGCCGACCCTGGCCGCAGATGAGGGCGGGCACTGTGGATGGGGGTGCAGCTGGGATGCTGGGCAGCCCGCCATGTGTGCTCCCAGCAGAGCCAAGGCCAATGAGCTGTACCTCTGCTTGTACAATCACATCTCCTTGCGTTCCCTCCTCGCCTCTGGGCACCACGAAGTGTAATACACTGAGGCTGATTTAATAAGTCCTGCCAGCTCCCAGGCTGCTCTGCAGTGTGAGTGGGAGGAGACACATTCTTGGCAACACACAGCTCTGTACAGGGAGCGCCCTCTTCTTGGTGCTCTGGGAAACGAGGCCGGAAGCACAGCCCTGTGCACCCCTGGGGCCTCTGGGTGGCTCTTCCAGGGCCATGTGAGACTCTCGAGGTGCACAGGAGCTTGTGTGAGAAGCAGCTGTGAGCGTCACCTGGATGGGGGCCACCTTCCATCGGCAGGCTTGGATGGCAGAGGGTCTGTTATTATTGGGTATTGCTGGTTCACTATTTAGGGCACAGCTGGGGACATGCCACATGCGTCTGTAGAAAGCCTGGATGAAGCAGCCACTTTAGGAAGCCAAACTGGATCCAGCACTTGTGTGATGTGAAGTCCCAGACAGTCACTGTCGGGGCTCATGTGTGGATGTCCCGCCAAAGCCTCATGGGGCAGGCTTTTTGGAGGGGCTGTTCTAGTTTGTGACTGATTCCTGGTCCGCTGCTGGAATTAACAGTGTGAGTGCTTTGCCTGCCCTGTGGCAGGGTCACCTGCATACAACATGGGGACAGAAGGAAGCGCATCCTCTGTCCTTGCTTTTGCTGCCTTTGTCCCACCATGAGCTGCTTTCTCCTCTGTAATGCCCCTCAGCCATGTGGCCCTGCCTTGGAGCTGGCCAATTAGGGACTAAAACCTCTATAAACTGTGGGCCTACCAGCCCTTCCCCTTTTAACTTTGAGTGTTAGGGATTTTGTCTTAGCAACAAGGAAAAAGTCATAAAGACAGCTAACTCTTTCTAGTGCTGCAGACAGCCCAGGGTCACACACAGCCAGACAGCTCATATGGAAACCCAGGCCCATGGTGCCGCTCCTGCAGGGATCTGAGGCACCCAGAAGAGGGTCAGCCAGCTCCCCTTTCGCAGACCCTGGGGCTCTCCCTGCCCTCCCCAGGTCCCCAAGAGCCGAGGACCGCAGGATGGGGGCTGGCCTCCCAAGCCGCTTACCTGCAAGTGAAGGATTTTGGACTCGTTGTTCCGCAGCATCTCCTTCTGCCTCTCGATTTCGATCTCGAAGCTGCAGATCTGGTTGTGCAGGCTCTGTATGCTTTTGTTTTTCTCCACACTTTCATTCTGCAGCAAGGAAACCTGGGAGAAACTCTTCAATTAATCTTTTCTTTTTAGTCGGTACCGGGGATCGAATTCATGACCGCCTGCTTATGGCAGGTTCTTATGCCGCTGAGCTAAATCCCCAGCCCCTCTCTTCAATTAATCTAACACGAAGGTCTGCTATCATGCCCAAAAACACGTGACCCAGCTGGGCTGATGCCTCCCATAATGCACACCTCGGCCAAAAATCACACCGTATCCCACAAACACCTAAGGTCGCTGTTCGTGGGTTCAGAAAATGCTCATCACAGCCCACTAAGTCACCCCCACCCTCCCTGGGGTGCATTAAGCAGTGCAGAAAGTGTCAGCCTCACAGGAAGCCTGGCGAGAACCCAGCACCATGCAGGGATCAGCATGCTCCCCTAGCCAGTCCAATGGCCCGAGGGCAGGCAGCTGATGCCAAGGAGGGCCACCTGCCACCGAGGCCATGGAAGGGCTCACGGGGCAGTGCTCCTAGCCCACTACTGACCTCCACAAAGCTGTTCTCCAGGACACAGCTCCCAAGCTCAAAATGACACCTGGTGGTGACTTTTGGTTTTTTGATTCAGTCTTTCTGTATAGCCTAGGCTGGCCTTAAACTCCAAACCTTCTTGCCTCAGCTTCCCACAGGCTGGGAGGGTGTATTCAGGAATATACCCTCATGCTCGGCTGATACCTGGCCCTAAAAGAACTCAAGATGGGGGTCCAAGGACAGTCCCCTCTCGGCTCCCATCTTCAGGATCTTGAGGCTCTGAGCCCCAGGGAAAGAGCTCTGTCTACCAGCAGGTGTCTGCCTCGGAAGGCCACATAGTTTAAGCGAGGCTCGGGTTCCACATTCATATCCAATGGGACCCCACGATGGCCCGAGGACAGCCAGTGGTCACATAGGCCATAGCTGAAGGTCACCTCAGGAGGGAACAGTGTAACAACACAACGGCTGATGCTGTCTGAGTAAAGGACACCGGCCTGAAGATGCAAGAACTCTGGACAACCACAAGCTATTTTACGTTCCAACAAACGTGCATTTACCAGGCACACTTGATCTGCCACGTGTCACGAGACATACACGGCTTTGCTTTCTTCCCTAGGATTCTAGTCAGCACAAGTCACACCTCTTGGCGTCCGTCACAGAACGAGTGGCTCCACGCTAGACTTTGTGAAAATCTGCTCTAACCCTTCAGGCTCTCTCGAACTCTGATACTAAAAGACGTGTACACGGACCTCGAGTCTAAATTCAAACACTGGCCCCACTAGGCTGCGGGCTTTACCTCGTTCCCTTCCCAGAACGGGCTCTGGGGATCCCGTAACCACAGCCCTGCCAGGAGGGAGGGCGCAGCTCCCAGCCCAACAGCAGGACCCACTCTCGGGAAGGAGCTGTGGTAGGAAGCCGCTCCCTTCTGCAAACAGCCCGGAAGGAGTGAGGCTGCCACACTGGCAACCCACGATGCCAAGTGTCAGCACACTCGGTGCGTCCCCCAGCCCTGCTGGCAGGAAGCACCATGAGGAGCCAGACACCCAGGACTGGGCTCTGCAGGCCCGTGGGGCCCACTGGTGGCCGATTTACAAAACTGGGGGACACTGGTCAATCTCTGCCCAGGTCAATGCTGATAACCAGTGTGGTTTTTATAAAAGTACTACAAACAAAAGCACTGCGAAAACACACAAACAAGGACCCTCGCTTGACCCTTGCAGACCCCCTGGCCTCGGCCGCCTCGCAGCAGCCCCTCCCAGACAGCTACCTTCTTCTCCAGCGAGTTGCTCCACTCCTTTAGCAGGTTCACGTGCTGCACCGCCGAGCTGGCCTCGTGAGCCTTGATCTGCTGGTTCGTCCCCTGCGAGAGCAAACGTGGTGGCATCAGCGTGTCACTGGCTTGGAGGGACACAGCAGGACACAGGACAAAGCAATGCACACACGAGTGTATTCATGTACAGGGAGCAGCGCTACAAAGCACCAGGAGGCCGACAGGCAGGCCTCCACCAGGGCCGGCCTCGAATCCTGGCCTCGCCCTCTGTGCTTATGGCCATCGGCTTCTTATCAGTGTTTCACACCACAAGGTCAAGAAATCAGATTTCAGAGTCATTCTTGTTCCATTATAGATTCTTTCTCATTAAAAAAGGAAAGGGAAAATGTCCAGGTGCCTGCAGCTGGACGCTGCGATGGCAGTGCAGCGAGCGGGCTGTGAGTTGTCACTGAGGATGCTTGGCTTGGATGTACCGGGCCGGTAAGGGCCGGCTCCACACCAGGCTAAGTGCGCTTGAAAGTTACATACAGGACAGAAACGAACTACAGAGTACATAAGATGCAGACCACTCGGAACCAAGAATCAGCACGCCAAGATAGCATGTTTTAAAAAAACAGAAATATAATTTGGATTGGAATTGGAAAATTAAGAAGCCAGGGAAAGCATTTTCATGATCTCCAAAACATATACTCTGTACATAGAATATCCGTATATACATGTTGACGAGCATGGCCCCGTCAGCATGTGTACACACATACACACACACACACACACACACACACACACACACACACGAATGATAGCCACAAGGACAACAGCTTGGCCTCCCGGAGGCCACACGAGGGGACCCTCTCTCATGGATGCCAGGAGCCGGGACCTCTACTGGTGTCGCGATCATGTGCTGGTGTTTCAGAGAATGAAACACACGACAGCTGTGATACAGTTTGCCTTTTGACAAGTTTTGAAATTCAGATATGCATTTAAATAAAAACCTGGTCCTGTTTCACTGGCAATCTCAGATGTGCTGAGAGGTGACCTAAACTGGACACACGCCTGTCACACGGTGCTTGCAGCAGCGACAGAGTCTCCAGGGAGGTGAAGCTCCAAGAAGGGCCCAGTGGGGTCCACACAGCACAGGGGCACAGGAAGTACATGTGTGGACACGCGTGTGGGCTCCAGACCAGGTCCACTTTGCATTCACGTCTAGCCAGGTCATCCCCAGGATTTCCCAAGCCCCCAGGTGGATGTCAGTGCGACATGCCCTTCCCAGGCTGGGTGACACCAGCCTGGCCAGTGAGCCCCATGCCTGGGTCATGCGGCTCCCGTCGCCCACGCGGCAGGGTCTCAGGGCTCCAGGGCACACACAGAGTCCAGAACCGGGAAGTGTAAATGTGAGCACGAGCACTTTCTCTCGTGGAAGAATGTGAGTGGGAAGGGCAGGTGTCGGATACTGACCTGAAAAACGCAGCCATAGCGCTTAAAACTACAGGTGCTGGGGGCATTGACACACTCTGACAAGTGGGCACTCAACTGCAACGGGAAAGAGACGTGAGTTGTCGCACGAACGCTTGCACGAAAATGTTCAAGCACATCAGCACACAGAGCATCAGGGCGCACCGTGCGATGTGCTCACGGCCACACGTGGTGTGCTCACGGCCATGCGTGTGTCCACGCGGCTGCCGTCAGGCCCCTAGGCAGTACGTATGCAGCACTGCACGTGCACACACGCATACACCGGTATACAGAGATACATTCACCGTAACAGCCCTGGAACTCAGTTTTTTTAAAATAAATTGTTCAAAATGTGACATGCTGTCTGAAGAGCCAGAATTTCAAAACAAAAAAATAACGTGAACTGAAATGCACACTTAAAGACTATAAACAAAATTGCATGAAACACAAAATAAATAGGTATCATTCCGGATGCAACTGGGTTGCACAGCTAATACACAACACAGAAAAGTAAATCTGTCTTCAAAGTAAGCTCACACACTGCACTGTCTCTCGCATTGCTTGGGGCGACTGGAGATGGGTTTTCCCTCTCTGAAAAGCCTCCCAGCATGGCTGGGAGCTCACGGGCTTTCAAAGCCCCCTCAGGCTGTTCCAACAGCACGATTCTCACGTTGCCTCCTCTCTCTGATGGAAGGAACCAGCCCTGTGTTTTGGCTCTCATACTGGTGCTGCCCAGCGGCCCAACAGGCACTGCAGACACGGGAGGTTCACCCAGTCTCTGCTGCAGGGTTCAGGGGGAGGCTGTGTGGCAGGAACCACCCACGGTTCTAAGCAGGGACACCCCTCAAGGCTGCCTATGAGTCAGGAGGGCTCGCAGCAGTTAAGGTTCAGCAGCCTTGGGTCCCCCAGAGCCTAGAGAACACCCCACAGACATGGACCAGCGGAAACTGCTTTTGGAGTAGCCAACTGAAGACTAATAAATGTTCAGTGCCATGAACAGAATCACAGCCCTAAGGAGCTACTGTTCTGCCTGCCGGGTCAGGGCGGGTTTCCCGTGTGATTTTTGTGTGCTACTGTGAGTCCATGCTGACCCTTTCCCTAAAGTGGGTTTACGTGCAGAATTCACAGGAGCTTGGAATACAGGTGATGATACCTACAGCTAATGGTAACTTCCATCAAAAACCCAGAGAAATAAAGGCTGAAAGACTTTTTAAAAAATAAAAACAGAAGTGGAACAGAGGCAACTCTGGCCCTAACTCAGAGCTGAGCAAAGGAGTTCAGGAGGGTGTTGGTAAAAGCCTGTCTCAGTTCAGTGGTGTGAGGGGGCGTTGTCCAGCAGTAATTTACATGCAACCCCGACTCCTTCCACAGGCATGTGCAGGAGCCCAGGGCCTCTGTCACCAGGTACCTCCCTGGCAAGGTCACAGGGATGACCTTGGGCAGGGATAGCAGAGTCCTATGTCCCTGTCTTACAACTGCATGGGGACATGTGAGGGGCCCAGCCTGTCTCAGGCTTTTGGAAGAGGCTGAGGTGAGTGGGGACAGGCCAGGGTCTGACCCCGGGAGGACAGAAAGCCCAGGGGCCCCGCTGGCTCTAAAGCAGCCACTGCAGGCTCCAGCTCAGGGTGAAGCAGCCCTACAAGTTTTCCATCGGGACGTGTGCTGATCAAATGATGCTGAGGCCAAATCTTAGCAGTCTCAAAACCCTCTCAGTGGTGGGCGTGCAGCACGTGAGTTTTTGGGGGAGGCCTGCAGTCCCCACCCTGGGTCACCTGCCTGGCCCAGGCCACCTACCAAGGCCTGAATGGCTAGAAGCCGCTGCTGAGAGACCACCTCACAGCAATGCATGGGTTTATTCGCCTAGAAACAGTGTCCCCTTCGCCTGCAGCATGGTTTCCCATTTTCTCAACTCTCTGCAATAGTCTTGGCCTCGAATTTACCGTCTGGTAGGATTTTAACGCCTCCTCCTGACTCCCACCGTGCTTGTCTTTATGTTTTGCTCCCCTGCACATCAGAGCTGTGGGAGACTCAGGTGGAACGTGTCCCGCACTCCCAGACTCCGACTGCCCTGCCCAGCCGCTGTGCCCACCTCGCTCCTCAGGAGAGTCTGGACGCTGCACTTGTGAGGACAGGACACCACCACACAGGGACACTCGGTGTCTTCGTGTTTCTATGGAGAAAAGAACACGAGATGCCGTGAAATGCATCATCCCTCCTACTAACCTGGGCTCCAGCAAGGCAGCCTTGAGGGCGAGCACATGGGTGTGGGGGGACTGGGACCAGGAGTGGGCTTGGCTCATGTGGTGGCTAAGACTGTGAAGCCTGCACTGTGGCCTGCAGCAGTGTGACACCCAGAGGCGCAGGCCACCCTGCTCCACCTCTGAGCCCACAGAGAGCCATGCAATGCCAGGCGGCAGGCACCCAGCAGGACACAACTGACCACATGCCTCCTCTCTGAGAGTGCTACCTAGGGCCGGGCTCATGGGTGAGGATGGCATCCTTTTGGCCAGGTGGATTCAGAACCTGGGCTCTGCTTACACTAGTGAGAAACCTTGAGGATGGGGGTACCTGGGGCATCTCCCAGGTGCTGAGCCCTGGATTGGCTCAAGAGCTTGCAACAGGCTCCACACCTCACCGAGGACCTGCACGCTGTCCTCACACACTGGGCACTGTGGCCTCAGGGCAGCCCAGGGTGATACAGCCAGGACTCAGGGCCAGAGTCAGCTGTGGGTAACGTACTGGGTCCTGACAGGAATGGCCCGCTGCCCCCAGGAACCGACATCAGTCATGCTGCCGAGTCCACCAGACTGCACGTTCTTATACTTCCGCCGGTGCCATCACATGACAGGCTCTGCCCATGACAATCCAGAAGGCCAGAACACGAAGGGTGGGGCCGCCGCTCTCTGGCAGTGTGTCGTGAAGTGCACTGGGATTTATTTATTATTTACACTGCTTCCCAGGGCCTGCCCACCGCCTCCCGGAACCACACTGACGTCCACTCACAGCCTCGAAAGTCGACTGCATTCAGAAATGAGGCGTCTGCAGGTCAGTTTAGTTAAGATAAGGCCTCCCTGGCCAAGGATGGGCCTCAAATCTAACAGCCAGTGTTACGGTTTGTATCTGGGTGTCCCCAAAAGCCTCCTGCAGTCTCAAAGGTGGGTGAATCTAGTGTTTGGGACTGGTTCACTGTCTAGTGCTGGGATTGGCTGTGTGAGTGCTGTGCCCACCTGGGGTGGCAACCTGCACACAACAACATGCTTTTGTTGCATGTGCTGTCTTCTGCTGCCATGAGCTGCTGCCCTCTGCCCTGAGCCACCCTGCCTTGGAGCCAGCTGAGGATGGACTGAAACCTCCATAAACCGGGAGCTAAATAAACCTCTCCTTCCTTCACTTTTGGTGTTGGATATTTTGTTCCAGCTGGAGAGGAAAGTAACGAAGACGGCTATTATTCTCAGAAAAGGCAGACATTGGCAGGGCGTGGCAGGCATACTCCGCTAATCCTATTACTTTGTTTTTTTTTTTTTTTTTTTTGTCTTTTTTCTTTTTGTCGGTACCAGGGATCGAACTCACGACTGCCTGCTTGCAAGGCAGGCGCTTATGCCGCTGAGCTAAATCCCCAGCCCCAATCCTATTACTTTGGGAAGCTGAGGCAGGAGAAACTCAAGTTTGAGCCCAGTGTGGTGAACTTAGTGAAACCCTGTCTTGAAACAGAAAACTTAAAGGTGCTCAAAATACAGCTTAGTGTGCAAAGCCTTGGATTCAATCGCTCTAAAATAAATAAATAAATAAGCAGAGGCAAGAAATTGGGCCAGGCTGGCAGGTGTCACAGGGTACCGGCAGCTGGGGGTGCTGAGGTGCGGGGAGGGTATCTTTCTCCAGGAAGAAGAGCCTCGGCCCTGCTGTACCCCATTTCCTGTTTCTGGATGCAGAGCAGAGAGAATAAACCAGCTCAGTGTACTGTGTGACAGCAGCCAGCGGGAAGCAGGCTCTTCACGATCTGAGCTTGTGAAACCGACAGGCCTACACCAACAAGGCAACTTCGATGCACACGAGTGTGCCATGCACGTGGGAAGACACACCTAGGGCGTGACAGCAGCTGACACCTTCACCCTCTGCTCTTCCACCTGCCTCAGCCTCCAAGGAGCAACTTTAGTACCACAATCCAGAACTGTGTTCCCACTGCATTTCAGAAGGTTTCATCACATACACGTGAGTTCCTGCCAACACTGCCTCCTGCGGACTGCTGCCAGTGGGGCTGTGCTGGAGCCCTGTTCCGGCCTAGCAACTCCTGTGCTCCTGTGTTACCTGCAGCACGGCTCCAGGCCACGGTGCACACCTCCCTGCCACCATCCACACAGTGAAGGTGACGCTGCCCCACACCTGCTCTTCACACCCTTCTGCTCCAGCTGTCTCCAGGCTCCCGGCACTCAGGTAATGCTGCACTGTGCCCAGGTGACACATCCGGGACAGGGGCCTGAGCGCACAGCCTTGTAAACACTGCCGGGTCACCTCCCAAGGAGGCAAACAGGAGCGAGGCACACATGCTCCCATGCTCTGACGTCTGCCTCTCCCTGCAACTTGCTCTTGACAACCATGATGCTCACAGCTGAATGGCCCAGTGTAAAGGGGCTGAGCAGAGTCTCTTTGTGGGTCATGCTGCAAAATGCAGAGAACAGGAAAATCAGGATGACTTGGGCCTCAGATCTGCATAGGTCATACAGCTGGGCTTTAATCCACCTGAAGCCTGAGCAGATGGGACCAACTGAACGACCAAATTGCCTGGGAACCAAATCACACCACCGAGGCACAGTCAAGGAGACCAGGGGCCAGCAACAAGCCCCTCCCAGTGCACAGCAGAGCAGACAATGTCAGGAGCCACTGGGAGGCGATCTCGAACTCGAACATTCATTAAAACCACGCAGACGGAGAGAAGGCAAAGAGGACCCGAAGACACACTCCACCACTGACTGCAGGGTCACACAGCGCATAAACTCCTCTCATAAGAATAGGGGTAACGCAGACTCCAAACTCGCTATTACCGCGTGGGCCGAGCCTGCTGGCTTCCTCGCCGCTCTCTACAAGTTTAAGACCCAGACAGAGTCACACGGCACCACTCACTGGGGCCTCCTGACCTGCAGGCCGCAGGTCCTCTCCCCACGAGGGTCCCAGGCTCTCACCATGGCCCTGCTGTGCTCCACACCATCCTGGCAGAGCAAGCACCAGTCCTGCAAGGCCAAGCACAGAGCAGGAGTACAGGACTGCCACACACACGTGGCACAGAACCCCGCCGCAATAACCGAGGCAGGAAAACGCTTTACATCCTGCTCTCTTTGAAACAGACAGCTGCGCTAGCACTGTGGGCTAAATGGCCCGTTCCGAGTCTTAGCTGTCACACAGCTGTGGAGATACACAAGCCAATGCAATTTTCAGGCCATTCTTCAGGACAAGTCACAAATTCTACCTCTCCTGAATAGTCATTCTTCCCTTTTCTAACTCTCCAATGATATTCAATCAAGGCAATGGAAAGCGTTAATTACGTAAATCAAGACAGGGAAAACAAATACAGCTTTACTCTGAAATAACTTCAGATGAAAATTGCTGTTTGGTCCCCTCCCCCACTCCGTTCGCATCAGAATCCCGTGGAGGGGTGGGGGGCCGCACCTGCAGGGTGATCATCGGGACTTGGCTCTTGCAGTGAGAGCACGTGGCCTCGCGGTACTTGCAGGCTTTTTCCACGTGGTCGCGCAGGTCTCTCCGCAGCACCCTCTCCTTGCAGTCGGCACGCATGCAGGGAAGCTCCTCAAACTGGCAGTCATTCTTCAGATGCACCTGTGAAGCACCCATTCCCAGGTTTCCTGCAAAACCACCTTAGCAGAGACCCGATTCCAACCCTGCCCAGGGAAAGCCTAGATGTTAGAGCAGCAGCTCCCCCACTGCACTTGGGGGGACACAGGTGCATATCTGGTCTAGCAGCTACCAAACCACAGCGCTGCTAGGACGGAGTGAGCACATGCTCCAGGGAGAGCAATTTAAGATTTTATTTTACTTTTATTTTACTTCAAGTTCCCTCCCAGCATAAAACTGATACTAAGCAAAAGTAAAATTGGCACTAATATAAAAATACATTACATGGAATTTCATGGTGAAGGAAGAGCTCCATGTGCCTTGGAGAATTAAACGTCCAATGCGATTTCCCTCTGTGCTAATGAGGGAGAGGCTGGATGACTCTGCCAGGGTATCACAAGATGACACCGCATACCCGGGCTGCATTCTGCAGGACCCAGGAGCTCTCCGCCCGAATGTGCCAGGCCCCTCGCCCATGTCACGGCAGGACAGCGCCCTCTGCGAGACCTGGAGCCCCGTGCCCCGACTCACCAGCAGGTGCCCGAGCGTCAGCTGCTCTGCACAGCCCCTGGCTTCGTTGCGACAGTAGATCTGCAGCGCCAGGATCTCTCTCTTGCAGCAGTTATCCTTAAACACCTGAAATCGAGAGAGGCTGCTTCAGAGGATTAACACTCCTCCAGCTCCACACACTGTTGTTCTGATCAAGAGAAAAGCACTTAAAAAGTCAGCAGAGAAACTCTGGAGTGAACCTATAAGCAGTAAGGACCACTTTAATCTCCACAAGCTAGAGACAGCATCGACTCCTGGAAGAGACGCGATGGAAACCCTACGACCTCACGAGATGAGCCGGAAGACCATGAATTGCCCGGGACCTGTTTCCAGGACACAAACTCAAGACTGGCTGCGTAGGCCTGGGGTCCTGTGTCCTCTGGGGAGCAGCAGCCGGCGCAGAGGACAGCTACGGGGTGCAACCTGACCAGGGGTCCCCATGGGCCTTACAGTCTCGGGCTCGTGGGCTGGACCAAGAGTTGGGACGATCTATAAAACATTTCTTTTGGCTCCTCCTATGGAGGTTATGCGGCTTATAACTCATTTTTCACCAAAAAGGAAGCTTTTAAATAAGTATCACAAAGGTTAATCTAACACTACAATGTTTCCCTCTAAAAATGAAAGCCTGCTTGCCTTTCTCTGATTTTAGCTGCTATCAGCAAACAACAATTCAGTGCGGCACCTTATCGGGGTGATCTTGAGAACCCCACCACTCTCCACACACAGGAAAACCAGCCCTTAATCTGCCAAGAGTTAAAAATAAACTAACCTGGAGTCAAGCTACACAGCACAAACACAGTGTCTTTAAGGGGATGAATCAGGGCAGCAGGTCTGCTATTGCAATGCTGGGAACCTGCTTCTTTTCTGTGCTGTTAAATTCCTTAACCTCACAGACAGAGGAACACTGATGGAAACCCAAGAATAAACCAGAGAAGAGTCCCTTTGAGCTCCTGGGACAGAGCTGGGAGCCCCTGGCTTATCTGCTCCAAGCCCCCAGGGGAGGCTGGGTAGGGCGAGGTCCTGAGGGCATCCACAGCCTTTGTGTGCCTCATTAATGATTCTCCAGCAAATCTGGCCTTTCTTCTTCAGCTATCAGAGCCCTCAGAGCAAAGAAATAGACACTAAGACCCCCCTTAGCCCCGGGTGACGGTGAGGATCCTTCCTTGGCCCCATCCCTTGTCCCCAGCAGCCGGGCATCTACTGCTGGGGCCCACACCTGGGCTGCCCCAGCCAAAGTGTCAACTAGCACAGGTGCTGCACCCAGGAAAGCCCAGAGCCAGAACTCCGTGTACAGGGCAATGACCCCCATTACAAACTTGCAAGTTCATTAATCAAAGCAGTAGAAGCCCTCACATTCTTACTGATATGTAAGTACTTTAGGAAGGAGCTGTTTCAGACTACAAGCGCAGCTGCCAGGGCTTAGCAGTAAGTGGGTCACCACCCATTAGGTCCCCCCGCCCTGGGGGGGATTGTGGGCACACAACCGAGTGGAATATGAACACAGCAATGGAGTCACAGTGTGGAGGAGGGTTTTTCAGATGCACCACCCCCCCGCCCAGTGCACCCCTAAAGGTCACACAGAGGGAAGAGTAGGCCGTGAGCTGTGTGGGACAGAGACCGCTAGGACAGCAGTTCCTGAGGACCTGACGGCAGACAGCCCAGCCCCAGGCCCCTCACACATCAGGCAAACACTTCCCACACCTCCTGGGTGCGGCGGCTGCCTCGGGTCCAGGTGAAGTGCATCACACGTCTGGGGACTGGGAATGGCCATGCTGAGATGACACAATGTCCAGGGGACCAGATGAAGCCTGAGACAAGTGCCCCCAGCTCAGCTGGGTGGAACAGCAGCGGGGCCCCAGAGTACCTTGTCTTTGATGATGCTTTCTTGACACGCTGTGCACTTGGGACTCGGAGAGCTGAGGGAGACACAGAGCACGTTAGAGCAGAGCACTATGTCCCTGCAGGGCCAGCCTGGCTCTCGGGTGCCCCAGCGATTGGGTTTCAGTGGGAGTCAACATTAAGGGGGAAGGAGGAATTCCCCTCACACAACCATCAAGCCATCGAGCCCACAGATGAGTTCAACCCTTCAGAGGACACAGGCCACATGCGAACCCCAAGAGGAGCCCTGAGCCAGCGCCGACGGTCGGGCCCCTCTCCAGGAGCTACTGTGCATGGAAAGGCCGAGCCCATCACACGGAGCTTCCCTGCCCAGGGCTTCTGCTGGGCTGACTGTGGGGTTCAGGTCCCAGGAAGGGAGACAGGTGCTGCACCAGCTGCACACCCTGCTTGACTGAACCCCTCAACCTTTGCCACACCACCCTCTGCAGGTGAGAACGAGCGGTCATGGAGGGGGCCGAGGACTGTGGGGAACTAGGCAGGAACGGCCGGTTGGGAGGAACAGCAGGGCAGCCCTGAAAACAGTGACCACAGCGTCCAGCATGAGGCTGGGAAATACACAGCACCTCTAGGATGCCTGGCTGCTTTCATGGCCAGAGCTGCAGACTGGCTTTCACAGTCCTCCTGCCTCAGCCTCTCGAGTGCTGGGATGAGAGGTGTGTGCCACCACGTCTGATCAAGCCAGTGCTGTTTCTGCCACTAACTCCAGCCTGGCCCTGTGATGCCAGCACCACTGGGTCACCCGCCACATGGCACATGGCTGGGGCACTAGGGGGCGGTGGCTGCCCAGCAGAGGCTCACACGGCTTAAGGACTTGTCCTCTGCTTGGGCAGAACAGAGCAGCAGACAGGGACACTGGGCCTCACTTGCGAGACTCAGAACTCCAGGCCAAGTTTGTGGGCCCGGCACATCCTGGACCAGCACCCACCTGAGCAGGGCGGCCATGCAGGTCTCGCAGAAGCGGTGCCCACACTCGGTCTGCTTCGGGCTGCACAGTACCAGGCGGCACTTCTCACACTTGTACTTGTCCTCCACGGCCTTCACAAACTTCTCCTTGTAGCCGCCCTGCTCGGGGACAAACACGGAGCCTGCCCCGCGGTCAGACTGCAGCTTCAGGGGTGGGTTGGCCTGCAGCGCACTGGCTGAGTCCATCTTTTTCCCTGGCTCCATCTCAGGAAAGCGGGGTCCTGCCGGAGGGGAGAGCCACAGTGAGGAAGGACAGCACCTCACTCCCAAGGACACAGGGGAGGAAGGGCAGGGCAAGGCCGGCCAGGTCCTCCTTCACCCTCCTGTACCCAATGCACCGCTAACGTTCTTAGTGGATGCGTAGAGTTCTTTAAAACACAGAGCACGTACTTGCCGTGGCCCATGTTTCCCGCTCCGAGGACCACCGCAGTACAGCGGCCAAGCTAGCAGCTGTACTCAGCCAGTTCTGTGGCCACCCTGACCAGGCCTGCAGCAGGACACAGGCTCCCGTGCCAACAGCAGCATTTCCTGCACTGCCCTGTTCCCTCAAGAGGCCCAAGGACCTCGGCTTGGTGTGAGTCAGCCTTTACCACCATCCCACTGAGTCAGGGTCGTCCTGACTCAGCCTCCTGCTCTGAGCTGCTCTGCTCCTCTCACCTGCAAATCCCACTTCAGGACAGAAGGGCTCCTACGGCAGCCACCGAGGACCCAGCTGGGGTAGCTCTGTGCTAAGGCCCAGCGGTCACACAGATGGAACACAAAGCCTGGGGCGAGTGGGAAGGGTATGTGTGGTGCACGGAGGAATCTGCCAAGATAAGACCCACTAACCTGTGGGACCAGTTAAAACACAGCATTTGGGAAAGCTCCTGAGGAAACACCAGCTTCAGTGTGAATTAGGGACACACTGAAAAGGATGCACAACAACTTAACTTCTCAGCCTCCACACTCGCTAAGTATCTGCAGCACCCCCCACGTGCCCCATGGCACTGTACCCAAGCTTGCCCACTGTTCTCGGGCACTGGGCCACTGTGCGCTCTGAAGGTCAGGACCTGGGCGTGAGTGCGCCTTTCCCAGGGGCTCCAGCCACGCATCCCCCACTGCTCAGAGGGTGGCACCCACACTGACGCTGTCCACCTGGGACTCAGCTGCCCCGAACAAGGGAAAAGGGACACCTACAAGGGACGAGGGACACATGTGCCCTGGGCGTGGGCCTCAGGGTGACTACTGGGCCCTGGGGTGACCTCTGCCTCCGCACCATGGGACCCGTCAAGGGACACATCTGTTAACTGACTGAGGATGTTTCTTTCAAACTCAGCACCTCCCTCAAAACTGTACCCTGGATTTGCTACTTAATAAAATATAAAGCCAGGCCTGGTGGCCTGTGCCTCTAATCCTAGCTTCTCAGAAAGCAGAGGCATGAGACTTGCAAGTTTGAGGCCAGCCTGGGCGGCTTAATGAGATTCTGTCTCAAAAAATAAAAGGGGGGCTGGTAGTGGTGGTGCATGCTTGTCATTCTAGGAGTTAGGAAGCTGAGGCAGGAGGACTGCTGCGAGTGGAAGGCCAGCCTGGGTTCCACAGTGAGCTCCAGGCCAGCATGAACTGCACAGTGAGACCCTGTCTCAAAGAAAACAAGTTTCAGCAGCAGAGCACTAGGGTTCAATCCCCAGGACTGCAAAACAAGCACCAAACTCCTCCTTCGCTCCTGAGAGCATGGTCCATCGCCAAGCCCTGCCTTCCTCTGGAGGGTGTCAGGCCCAGCCCCAGGCCACCTGGGTCCCCAACCCACAGGAAAGCCAGGGCTGAGCTGGCCCCTCTGCTCCCCAGTCCTGTCCTGACACTGCTCCTGACACCTGCTTCTGGAGCTCAAGAAAAAGCTCTTCATGGCCGGGGTCAGGGACCCTACACTGGCACACAGCATGGGGCATCCAGGAGCTTGAGCTCTGGCCACACTGGGGGTGTCCATGAGGCAGAAAACCACTGTGGCCAAGCAGGGCCTGGTGCGAAGTCAGCTGATTCGAGAGCACTGGCTTTCAAGGTGACCCCAAGGGTTGATGACTGCTCACAGACTTGCCTTGGAACCCTGTCTGTGACCAGGCAGGAAAGGACCAGGGCTCCCGGGCTGCCTGGGACACCATGCTCTGCTGTCTTCCCTGTCCTCTCCAGCTGTCCCAACTGCTCACAGCTCCAGCCCTGGGCATCTCTGCACAGTGCTCAGGGCTCAAGTGTTCAATCAGGGGCTTCCGAGCAGACATCAGGTCTCAGGAGTTCATTCCTACTTCAAATACAACCAAGCTCACCATGAGGACCACGTTCCCTGTTCTATCACCAGCACATCACGCGCTATGTAAACCACAGCGCAGCCCTGAGGCTCTGTTTTGACCAAATGCTGAAGAAGACCAAGCCCTGTGTCTAAGGCTGGCCACCTGGGGTCCCTCACACTCTTACCCACGGGAAGAGGAACGAGGCCCTGCAACGTTAGGTGCCTTCACAGATACACACACGCCCTGCAGAGGCAGGCAGGGCAAGGGCACCTCTGAGCCCTCCGGCAGCCCAGCTCTTGAACTGTGAGCTGGAGCAGTAAGGTAAGAGAATGAAATCGAAGGATGAAACAGGAAAAGAGGAGAAGCCACCCTCACTCGCAGGGCGCAGGGTCCTACGAAGACTCTAATGATTACATTAAAAGCCTTTTTTATAGCTGACAAATACATTCAATAAAGCAGCATCTTATAAAATCAGCATTAAGGAGCTCAGGATATAGCTGTGTGCACAGTGCCTGCCTGGCAAGCACAAGGTCCTGAGTTCGACTACAATTAAGAAATCAGTGTCTTTACTACATATTAATAATAGACCAGGTAAGAAAGAAATCAGGAAGACAATTCCACTTATAATAGCACACAGGAGCACACACACACATGCTGGGAATCAATCAATCCGACGTGAAAGACCTCTACAGTGAAAACTTCAAAACTGAAGAAGACAAGACAAGACCAGAAGATGGAAGCATCCCATGTTCAAGAATTGTCAGAGTATTATTAAAGTGGCCAAATTACCACATAATCCTCTGCAAGATACCAGTGACCTTCTTCTGGAGCTAGAGAAGACAGCCCTAAAATTCATAGCAACACCGAAGACTCAGAATCCCAAAGCAGTCTCAGCAACAAGAGCGAGACAGAGGCAATGCAGTGGCAGACTTCGAATTATACTCCAAAGCCACAGTGACAAAACAGCACGGCACAGGCACCAAAACAGTCACACAGACCAGTGGGACAGGACAGAGGACACAGACCCACACCACTGCGACCACCACTTCTGGACAGAGGAGCCAAAAATAGCCTGGAAAGAAGACGGCCTCCTCGACAGACGGGGCTGGAAAAGCCGGACGGCCGCCAGGAGAAGACTGAGGCTGGGCCCGGCTGGGCCCCGCTGCCCCCTGCACGGTTTGATTTAAAATGGACCAAACACCTCCTGTAAGAGCTGAAACTCTGTAACCACTAAAAGAGGAAACACTTGAAGCCATAGATAGGCAAAGACTTCCTGGGCAGAACACTTGGCCTCCAGCAGCACAGGAAATACTAGCAGTGGGACCACACCAAATTAGCAATCTTCTACACAGCAAGGGGTACACCTCACGGCAGGGCCAGGCACAGCGCAGGTGGAGACCCACAGCACAGGTGCCACGGCGGGCTGCCTACGTCACTGGGTGTGCAGGGGTTCCCCAGCCCTGGGCCACAGAACGAGAGAAGAGCTCTGCCAGCCACTCTGCCAACAGAGGACTGATATACAGAATACGGCAAGAGCTCCAAAAAGTAACACCGAATAATCAGACAGCCCAATCAGTGATGAGAAGTGTGAATGGCGAACGGTATTCCACAAGACGGTTTGTCCCCTTTAGCCACTAAAAAACCTAAACGACGCTAAGATTCCCTTACCCAGGTCGATGCCATCAAGACAGAAGCAACACTCCATGCTCAGGGTGTGGGAAGAGAGTACTCTGCTCCCTGGCTGGGGGAGCTAGGCCACTGCAGCCACTGTGGAAATCCAGGCGGAAATGTCTCGAAAAACTCAAAACAGGGTCATTCGATACAGCGCTTTCTGGTATACACCCCTGAGACCAGAGGGGACCCACATGCTCAGCTTACATTAGCACGAGTCACAGCCCAGAGCTGGCATGGGCCCTGGGGTCCATGGATAGAGAGTGGACAAAGCCAACATGCTAAACACACGCCATGGAGTACCATGCAGCCACAAGGAGGAACCAAATCATCGCCTGCAGGAAAATGGGCAGATCTGGATCATCGTTGTATGAAATAAGCTGGATTCAGAAAGATGTCCTCCCTCATGTGTGAGACCTACAAGAGACACCAAGAAAGCAGAAGGCCATAGGGGAGGAGGAGCGTAAGGGCAGGAAACGGGGAGACGGGTGTGAAGAGAATGGGGGGCAGGAGGGCTCTGGGCTGCATGACACTTGAAGGATGCAATGGGTGTGTACAGCTCTGCCCAATGCACCGGCCATCCGCGAACTGTACACACTGACAGAGATGAGGACAAAGGATCCCTGAAGCAAATGAGGGAGGAGGGGAGAGGCTGGGAAGATCTGGCCAGGCAGGTTGACCCCGGACCCGAGGCCCCGACAGAGAGCTCCAGAGACAGGCGTGTGCTGGGGGCCGGGGTGCAGGCCTCTTGCTGCTGTCAGAGCTGCCACATGAATGTCATCTACGGGGTGACCACAGCCCAAGTAGGGACACTGCAGTGCCACGCCCCATCGCTTTGCAACACATGGGCAAACCCCTGCCAAGGGAGGAAGGAGGCCGTCCTGCGGATGGCCTGGGCCACCATGAGGGTGGGATAAACAGGGTCACTCCGGGGGCAGCATCCCCTTGCTGCTTTCGGCTCCCCCAGCTGGACTGCGGTGAGATCCCAGCCCGGCAGGGTGCAATGGTGCGGTGCAGACACTGCCAGCTGGAGCAGAGGCATATGGGAGATGCGGGGGACACTGGGCAGAGCTGGGGAGGACAGGTCCAAGACGGAGCAGGAGGCCAGGCAGCCGGCTCTGTGCAGGCCCAGGTGAGAAAGTAGCCCAGTGTCCCCGACCCGGGCACAGCCATCGAGGTCTGAGCCTCACTTTCAGAGGCACATTCTCAGGTCACCATGCATCATGCAGCTGCCATGCATGCTCTCGGCCATCTTCCCACCCGGCAGGCATCCAGAAGTCTGCCCAGGT